ATAATTTTTTAAGTGTTTCATTGTGTGACCTAAGTGGTGTGTATATATGAGCTAGTGTAACTAGGTAAATAGCAGAAAAGAACAAAAAAAATTAATTCTAGAAAGTTAAATTATTTTTTTGTTTTTGCAATTTTTTTGCAAATTTTACAAAAAACAAAGTTATTTTTGGTCCTATTCCCACTTCGCCTTGTTGTAATCAAATTTTACTTTTATTATGTTAATTACCGTTCGATTGTGAACCTCAATATTTTTATATAAATGTATTGTATATATTTGTATATGTATATGGTACACCTTATACTCAATTTACAATCACAAAAATACGTAGTATACGTTCCGGAAATAAATGGTAAAAATGAACAACTAACAATAATTCAAACAACTTATAAACTATTATACTAGAATAAATTCTAGAATCCTAAAACAACTGTATTTATTTTAAATTTGAAGAATTTGGAATAATTTCCTATGTATATGAACTTCATATGATGTATAAAAATGAATAAAAATTAGATATACGTATAGCTATGTTGCGGTGTAAAAAAAAAAGTTTAAATCGGGTTACATTGGGTGTAGTTATAAAAAATTACACGAATACAAAACGTACAATAAATGTTTTAAAGCATATATATATATAGCGTTTAGAATCTCTGTAATTCTTAATAAATTTCCCTTAAAAAAATTCCTTAATTGATACATTTATTGTTAAGAGCATTATGTTAAGAGAAGGCAAAATAGAGTAGGTGTAAACCAAAATAATTTCATAATCTCTCCACGTTTCTCTCTCTTTTATCGTTTTTACTCAGATGCATTTGCCTTACAAAATTCTTATTATTTTACAATTCACAATTCAATATAGAAAATAATTACATTTTCAAACCGAAAATACCACTACCTTCACTCCTTCTCCCCGCCTCCGCCTATTTACATCTCATTCATTAATCAACGTACTACATTTACATTCAGCACGGATTTATAATAATAAATTATAACAAGATATTTTATTCATGTGCTATAGAGCACATTTCTATCGGAATTGATAAATAAAATTTTGTATTTAAATTTCAATTTATCACTTCGTCCGTCAAATCTATTTACAAAACTTCTATGCATCCTTTAACATAGAAAACACAAATAGTTTTTCCGCTATATGAAACCGCTTATAGGCAAACATTAAAATGACAAAATGCCTATTTTAAATTTACTGTTATCTTAAACTCGTTGTTTTTTCAAATACATTTTTTTGGACATTTTTTTTCTGTTCGATGCTATAGGCAATGTTTTTATACCCGTAAGAACGTATGTTCGGAGGGTATACTAAATTTGCCTTATCGTTTGAAACGCTAGGAAATAATGGTCTGAGATATAGATTCAATTATATTTATTTGATCAGTGTCGAATTCTGAGTAGGTTTAGCTTTGTCTGTACCTCTGTCGATCCGTCCATTTGTCCGTCCGTCCCAACGATAACTCAAAAACTTATTGAGCTAAGTTCACAACATTTTTAAAAATTTATAAGATAATGATAGAACCCTATTTAAATTGGATATGATTAAGGTACTGGTTCAGGTAGCTGCCATACAACTTCAAAATTTATTTGGCTATAACTCAGAAATTATAGAAGCTTTAGTATTGAAATTCCGCACAAACGAATACATTGCTAGGGTCATTGTGTTTGATAAAAGTCATTGAAATTGCTTGGCTGCTTCTGGTAGCTTCCATACGACTTGAAAAGTCTATATCTTAAAAAGTGTTCAACTTACAATACTGAAATTTTGCAAAATAAAATATGGTAAAATGGCAGCTATATTCCTTAAAAGTTGTTGAGATCTCATGAGCACTTGTGATACTTGCCACGCAGATTCATAAGTTATTTAGCATTATCTCAGAAATTATTGGAGCTATAATATAGATATTTCGTGAATGTGTAATATAAGGGCTGTTATACATATGATAAAAATCGTTGAAATTTCTTGACTCCTTATGATAGCTGTCATACAATATCAATAATACTTTGACCATATCTTAGAAAATATTGAAATCACAGTGCTGAAGTTTTGTATACATTGTGGAAAATTTCAATTACATATAGTAATACGGCAACTTAAAGTAATAGACTACCCCATAGCCAACTATGGCATATTTACTCGCACATAGGATAACAAATTCTGGTCAACTGTTTTTTTGTTCTTTTTTAACAGAAATTAATAAGAAATTTTGAAAAATATTTCATCCTGAAAATATGCAATATTTTGCAATATTAAATACAATATTAAAATTACTTAAATGCCTCTTAAAATATTATTCAGCTTTTAAAATGTTTAATTGATTTCTTTTACTATATACATATAATTAATGTAAAAATTTAAATTCTTGTCCATATCTCCAATATTATCGGATTAACGTTAATGCATATACACATATACATATAAATTTATAATACAAATTATTCACGCAAAAGAAAATAAAAAACATGCAAAAACAATGTCATATTATATAGGGAAGAGGGATACAAAATAAAATATAGGATTATGATGATTAGTTATACATATACATATATGTATACGTATATATACATATATATGGGGAGGAAAGGAAGAGATAAGGAGAGAGAATTCGCATATTTACTAGAATTCCAATTTATAGATTTCAGTTTATATCTTATATTTCTATAAATATATGTATGTGCGCATGTAAATATATAGTTTATTGTTTTTAATATAAAATATAATTATATTGTCGCGTGAATAATTCAAATTAAATTTTCTTTATATACTCCAATTTACTTTTTATTATTAAAATATTAAAAAAATAATAATAAATAAATAAATGAACAAGAATAACATTAAATAATAAAGTTTTTGTTTTAAATATTGTTAAAATATCTTGTATACAACTTTATTTATCATAATTTTGTCGCCTGTATTTGAATGTGATTTTCATGTTTTTCTATATAAAAATGAAATAATATGAAATACACATGTATTAATAAATTATACAGCTGTACTCGTATAACAACACAATTTTTTTCTTAATTAAAAAATAGGAAAAAAATCAATCTCGTTTTGAAACTTGAAATCTGTTATACTGCAGTTATATTATAATTATGTAGTTTAAAACAAGTAAAAACGTTTAAATCGACCAATTAAATTATATGTCTCATTCTATCATAATCATCTGAGATTATTCAGATAAACCATATAACCAGAGGTGAATTAGCTAAATAAAATGCTGGTATTAACATAAACTATAATTCGAAACTTATTTTCACAAAAATATAATGGATAAATTGTATATACCATTCATTAAATAGGGTAAAATATAATAAAGTTGGAGCAAACCAGTTGTTTCTAATGTAGCACTTTTACTTTTAACAAGTGAAACCACTGCTCAATAAACAACAATTCACGTACATACTACATTATTAAAATTAACATAAGAAAATATTGCATATATTTAGGATGAGTGATGTATTTAATTTTTGAAATAAAACAAAAAGCAATTTAAAGAGGCGTTCACATAATGCGCGAATTGAGTTGAGAAAATTGCGTGAGTTATGAAAAATAATTAAATTTTTAATGGTACGCAAATTACAGTTTGCTTTCTGCATTTATATAAATTTGCGAAAGCTTGCAGTATGGGTATAAGGTGCCAAAAAATTCAGTATTTTTTGAAATTTGAGACGCGGTTGAGGTAGAGAAAAATTTAAAGAAATGAACTATTTATTAATGTCTAAAAGCTGATAAAATTTCAGACTCCCACAACATGTGGTTTAGAAGGAAAACGATATCAAAAATAACGGTAAATTTTGACGACCATTCTGGTTTTTTAAAGTTAAAATATTGTATGCTGTGATACAATATTATATTACAGTATACTGTGTTTGTAGAATTTAAAAACTGTTTCTGGTTTTGTTACAATAAATTGTTAAAAAGGGCATTATTAGGACTTTTGGTGGTTATAATTTTTAAGGGAGGTAGAGAGATAGGTAAAAATTTTCTAGTAAAGATTTATGTACGTATGAAATTTCAGCTTTCTGTCCTCCATTTTTCTTCTACTCTACAATTATTAAAATCAGTTACGGAAATTTCAAATAATTTCTCTAAAAAATGCAACTGACTGGATGCTATATTGAAAATATTCCTGATATACATTTAAAATTTTTTTTATATAAAAACAAAAATACCAGCATATGGTCTCCCTATATATAATCTATTCGAAAATTCGATTTATATTAATTAAATTATATATTTAAATATCCTTAATTTCAAAATTGTATTTTAAATATTGGTTCCTGTATAAATTTCTAATTTCTGAGCTTTTTAAGTGGCTATATTTAAAATATTCGCCAAATTAAATACAAAATATGTTTTAAAACAATTATTATTACTTACATTTTGAGGGATTCAAGGCAATCGCTCTATTCTTGAAAAGAATCTAAAAATATAAATAAAAAATAATTGAAAATTTTTAAAATTATGTTAAATAATAATAAAATCTTAAATAAATATCTTAAATATCTTAGATATATATATATACATATATTATAGAATTTGAAAATTAAATTATGGTGGTAACACTGATCAGAGAATGTCAATGTCAAAATTTCTTTTTTTAAAAAAGCCCTCTATAATTTTAATTCTCTTTAATATTATGGAATACATATGAAAGAATTTTGACAGTTTATTTTTAGTAAATACACACACACACACAGCCATAATGAAAAATACTGTATTTTCTCTATAATCTCTATTTTTTTCTTACTGTTATTGTTATAGTATTATTTTTGTTCTTTTTGTTATTTTATATAGAAAAATATTTTGAAAAGAAAAAATATTTGTATAAAAAAAAGGATTTTATTATATGTTTTTTCTCATTATAACTGTTTGAGTAATAATAAAAAAAAAAAACAAAAAAAAAAAAAAATAAACTTTAAAAAAGAAATTTAAATCAGGTGAAATTAAAACAAAAATGAAAATTTCTGCCTATAAAATAAATCAAAACCTCATAAGTCGTCCTAAAGTCAAAATCAAGTTAAATAGAGAGCTCTCTATATAATAATAAAAATACCAAATAAATTAGTTCTGTGTTAATATCAAAACCTTTCTAATTTGGACAATATATTTAAAATTCAATTGAAGTGCAATTTTCTGGTGAGAGTCAAAATCATGCAAAAGTTAACCTATTGAATTAATTAATCAGTTAAGCACTTCTAATTGACGTTTTGGCTTCTATAGATACCAGAAATTTAGAATTCTATTGAGTGTGTGTTTTTGGTTATTTTTTTTTTTTAAATAAGAGTTACAAAAAGAAAATTTTTTAATTTGCAGTCAATGCATTTTTTTTTTTTGGTTTTTCTGTAAAATTATGACAAGAAAATTCTAGTCATGTGTACGAATGTAAAGAATCGATTAAATAAAAATATTTAAAAAGGATTTTTATGTAAATGCAAAAAAATATAAAAAGTGAAGATAATATCAGTAAAAAATTAAAATGTTCATGAAAATTTACAAGGTCTTTCGTTTTTTTGTATAATTTACTTGTATAATTTGCAAACATCCCTGAATATGACAAAAAATGTATTCAACTGCAACAAAATAAAAAAAAAAACAAAAAAAAAATTTAATTCAAGAAAATTATTCTGGCGCTTTGAAATTTGCAGTAATGTGATATTAATATATATATATATATACATATATATATATGCAATTCAGTTTTAAGAGAACACTTTAAATGTGTATAACAATAATACAGTATTACTGCATTGTTTTTGAAGATATATACAGGAGATATTCTGATGTATTTAAAATTAAACTATTTTGCATAAACAAATATGTGTGTTAGGTTCATAATTAAACTATACAAAATTAATTTACTTATATTAAAAGAAAAGTACAGAGTGAATTTTTTATAGTACACATACCTCTTTTGGTTGACTACATTTTAATAAGATTGCCATATTTCACAGGGCAGCGAATTCAAATGTTTTTTTTTGTATTATTGAACATACTAAATAATTATTGTCGATTGTATAGATTTGTCGATTGTTAAGTAAGGTTTATTGTAACGTACCTCTTTCCACCTCCTCGTACCTTCGAACATGCACATGGCGCTAAAATTGTTTTCCTGATATTTATCTTTATACGCGTACGAACGTTTGTTCGAAGCGTATACTAAATTTCTCTTACCGTTAGTAACGCTAAGAAATAATGGTCTGAGATATAGACTCAAGTATATGTTTTTGATAAGCGTCGAATTTTGAGTGGATTTAATCATGTTTGTTTGTTTTTCCGTTCGTCCGTTCTAACTCAAATACTAGTGCAGCTAAATTCAACAAATTTTCACAAATAATATATTAAAGTAAATTTGAGATTTCTATTTAATTTGGATATGATCGAGATACATATTACTTCAAAATTTATTTGACTATATCTCAAAAGTTATAGAAGCAATGTTTTTTTTGAAAATTTTGAAATTTCAACTTTTCATTTTTAGAAAACGTTAATTTTCAAGGTGATTTTCAAGGTCTCCAGCTGAAAATCTTCACAACTGAACTTCAATTTGGTATATGAGTCAACATGCTACCTGATCTGGTTAAGCAGTTATTGAAAAAAATAGAATACTGCAAATTTTATTTAATCAAATAGAGTACTGCAAATGTATATCAAATTGAAGAAAGCTGCAACGTTACGTCATCTAGAAAATTAACGTTTTTCCAAAATGAAAAATTAGAATTTCAAAATTTTCGAAATTTAAAGTTATATAATTCCGATATCTGAAAAGATTATAACTAAAATAGATATTCATAAAAAAGCCCTTGTTCTGAAGTTTCTTAATCATATTTAATAATGCGCCTTACTTACACATATATGAAGTTAAACATAAAGTTTCAAAAAGAAGAAAAATTGGTCGAAATTGATTTTAGGCCCTGCGATTCTGAACCTGTTGAGCTGTGAAAATCGTTTCCATATAAAAATTTTATCTATTCATGAGGGCCTGTACAATGGTATACAGCACTGGACTTTGTTACGAAACCTGTGTTAGATGAAGTGGAGGAGCTCTAGGAGGAAATCTGCTCAACTTTCTCAGAGGGAGATTTGTGTTGTGAGGGAATGCTGATCTGCCTTCTATTGAGCTAGTGCTGGGTTGTAGCGTTAAGAGTATAATCGCCCTTATCTAATTAAACTAAACTACCACCTATATAGTTCTAAAACAAAAAGTTTACCAATTTTTTAAATTTTATCTATTTTTGAGCATATGCTCATTCACTCTGCATATGTTTATTATCCTGTATCAAATTAATAGAGAATGTAAAAACACAAAAATTAATTAAAATAATTAATTTATACCTTACTAAACAAAAATATGCCTAGTATGCTAATTATACATATGTTCAAAACAAAAAAATAAAAAAAGCAACTATATGTCAAAGAAAAAAAAAGAGAATGAGAAAATTACTGCACCAGAACAAGAAGGACATAAGAAATAAAATAGAAAAATATATTATAATGTTTCAAATCCTTGATTTACAGAATAGCACATTTATAATTATTAAAATTTAAGTTTAGGACTTATATCTATGTATATATATATACATATATAGTATATAAATAGTTTAGCTCAGTATAATAAAATCAAACTAATTTTCTATTGAAATAATTTTCTTATTACCATATATAATGTGCATACATAAATTAATGAGATAAATTATTATATAATATTGTGATTTTTATTCCGAGAGAGAGAGGTTCAATGTTGTATATGTATATTTATAGTATTTATGTGATCGGAATATTAATATTACGAAAAATGTTATAGCTTTGGAGAAAAAAAAGTATAGATGGAAATAATTTTGTTTTCTAAGAAAATAAAATATTTATCATTTTATAATAAACAGTTTGAGAGAGTCTCAAAAAAATTTTTTTTATTAAAATTTGAAAGTTATTCGAACTGAGCACAAAAATATAGAAGAAAGTTTACTTTGAAATTTTGAAAAAATCACAACTTGAACTGATTTACAAATTGTAGAAATATACGGTATTAAAATTGTTATAGAAACTAAATTGCAGTAATAAGGTGTAGTTTAAAGGTGGGTTATGTATATATATACATATAACCGCATAACTGTAATTTTGAAGTCAAGAATTCCACATATATGTATGTATATGAGTATTTAATTTTATTTTCATATTTTTTCAGAAATTTCTTATTAGAATCTATTTATAAAAATTCCAGTTTTTTGCGCCTTCAAAAGTGTATATTTTTCTGCATATAGACATATAGACAAACAGACAACCTAAAACTAGTAAGACCTTTTGTTTTTTGGGAACATCCAAAAAAGGATATTTTTTTCATGCTATTATACTTTAATAATATAAAAAGGAAAATTCATTTATATAAATAGAATAGTAACACTATTTCTTTTAATATTCTGCACAGTTACACCACTTTATCTGTATATTACCTCGGTTTCCCTTCTTGTTACCACTGACCTCCTTATTCTTTTCGTAAATCGTGAATTTGACATAATCATACATTTCTCTTTTTGTGTTATTTTGTTTTTTTTTTTTGTTTTATAAAATGCTAAAATTACTCAATGTAGTCACATACATATGTACATTTTTTTCTGCAGGCTAAAATCATATAAATATATGAATAGTAGTATGTTAAATTAAAAATATATATGCTAGAACACTTAGTAAATAAGATTTATTGTGGGTATAGAGAGAGGGGGGGGGGGGGGATAGAATTTAAGTAGTTTTTTTTATCTTAATTTTATTTATGCAATACAATGAAATAGAAATGTGAATTTAGAAAGGAAGGAGGAGAGATTAAATGAAGATGAAATATTTTTTTCTTAACATTATTTACAAAAATTATATTATTATGATTCATATAGAAACAGCAATGAAAAACAATATTCAGTTGACCTCGTATCTGACTAAAATTTTTCGTCATTTTATCGATGTACCTATATAACAACAAAATGTAATGCCAAATTAGTTATACAATATTAGATATGTGCTAGAAATCCCTAGTATAAATCGCAGTGAAGTCAAATACATTCAATGTTATTGTAACAAAAACAAAGAAATTAAAATTTAGAATTCGGTTAGATATAATAAAAAAATTATTTCTGAAACAAAATTATCGGCTACTTTATCCAGTTCAGCCTTGTTCTTCAAGAATTTTTAATTTCACGCCACTGGGCTGTTTTGCTCTTGAAATTCCTATATAAAATTGACTATGGCTCAAGGGAGGTTCGGAAAGAGAAATACAAACTTTCTCTGTTCTTAGATACACATAAATATATTTATAATATTACAGTAATGTGTTAAAAATTTAATTAAAAGTTTCTTAATATTAAATTTAATCTTGATTGGTCACAAAATTGCAATAATATAGTACTATGAGGGTGTATGGAATTTTACCGAGAGCTTTAATATCAATTCTGGAGCACCCTCTACAACAATAAAATGTAAATGCATGCGTTTCTTCAATATTAAACTTATCATTTTGTTTTTTTTTTTTTTTTCTAGAATTATACAGTTTTAAATATATTTCTGGAAAAATTTTTCAACAATTTTGAAAATTTAATCGGGTGATATCATAGCACAAAATTATAATTATGTAAAAAAGTTGAATGTGAAGATATTAGAGAGTATTAAATAAAGAAGGCTTGTATGCTCGTGTAAAAAATTTTTACAAGCACATTTTTTTTGTTTTTTTTTTATTGTTTATCATAAAAACTCTTTAAAATTGTCCTTTTTAAAGATATAAGACGAATAAGCAAAAAAATTTTTTGTTATATATAAATGTAAATAAAAATGTTCACAAAAGGCGACATAAAATGTTCTTTTTCGGTTGTCATAATCGTGACATAGTCATTTATTTAAAAATACTATTATATAGCTTATAATACCACTTTCTAAAATTTCCATAAATATTTTTTTTGTGCATATATATATATATATATACATATTATAGTTATATGCATTAAAATACATAAAAAATAAATAATACGAAAAGTTTATTAAAATAATTGTGCATACATCAACTTGAGAAAATAAATAACTATGATTTTAAAATATTCTATATATGTTATACATAAAAAATTTATATATTTGTATATAATTATTATTGTTTGAAATAGAAACAAAGCAAAAAAAATATCTGAAGGGATCAACACAAAACTGACTGCAATATATATTGCCTGGTTTAATGAAAGTGTTACAGAAGATTATGAAAATGAATTTTGCACACTTTCTTTCAATTTCAAGGAAGTTAGCAAGCTTTTAGTTTATATACCTAGAAAAGTATAAATTTGGCTCTAAGTAGGATTTCGCTTTGTGCCACCCGAATCCCCCGAAAAGTTCACCAGATAGTTTCGGTAACAATAAGAACTCATATATCAAATTTCAAGAAATTCCAACAATCCGTTCCGTAGATATGGTAAAATATGTGAAATCGGCCCACAATTTGGTTTCCAAAAAATTTGCAAATTCTTTGTTTCAACACTGCAAATTTAAATATTAAAATACAATGTGTTTCTCTTTATATACAAAAAAAAATGTAAAATTTGCCCGCAAAAAGGTCAGGTTCCAGAGGTCTGGTATATCCCAAAAGTTGATCAATCCATACCGTATCAAAAATAAACTCAACCAAAAATTTCATCAAAATCGGGTCAGCCGAATTTGAGATACACGCGTTTAAACCCAAACCGACAGACCGACATCTCTCTAAAAATAGTTTATTTGCTCCCTACTATAGAGAGCATTCCTATCGAAAACTCGGTATCCAAAATTTAGTGTTATCATATAACCTACCTCATTGTATACAATGCGTACGGTAAAAATTTCGGATCAAATCGATTCAGTAAGTAGCAATAACGGTTTATATTTGAATATTATTCTTCGTGTTATTTTTGCCACTTTATCATACTTTTAAAACAATCATATTTAACTTAACAAAATATTGTACTTACGTATTACTAAGACTATTGTCAAATCACCAATATTTTAATATATATATGCTTACTTGCTCTCGTCCTTAATTGATAAGTCATATTTTAAGTTTTCCAAGATTATGTCGTCTGTGTTATATTTGCTGGCCATGCATGTAGCCCGTCTATTATAGTGGTATAATAGAGGGATATGACTTTGGCTATAAATCCCGTGTGCAAGATTTTTTTAATCAATTCCCTATTGTATTGAAAATTATTGTCGATTATAATTATATTTGGTTCTAAAAAGTACGGAGGCATTAGCCGTTTCCTGTTGCCTATCTTGCGACTGTATCATCGTTTTTTTAAAAGAACTAGAAAAAATGTAGGCATAACCAAATTTTGAGTGTGCTTTCATATAATAACTGATGCAAGAACATTCTGAGGGTGTGTGGTAAGCGAGTTAAAACTCCAATTTTAGAGTGCTAGCTTAAAACAGGAGTTAGAAGTATTTTTTTATAAGACGAGTGTAAGACGAACAGATGGATCAACAATTAAGCTATAGTATGCATATTTTTTTTATCAATTTTGTGGGATCTTAAATGAATGTTTTAATTATAAATTATGACTTTGTTAATGTTATTATTGTTATTATTTTTTTTAGATTCTTTTCAATAATCATATGTTATGGTTAATCGAGTGATATCATTTTAAATCCTTGGTATGGGAACTACATTACCCCATACAGTTATAGATGTCGTGCTGTATATCGGGGTCACGACACATTTTGTGTAAATAAAAATTATTATTTAAGGAAAAAAAAAATAAATTAAAAAGAAAATACATTAAAAGATTTTAAATCAAAATTAAATTAATGTATCATTATGATATATAATAATGAATAAAGAAGCACTTAGCCAACAAATCCTGACCACATTAGATGCTTTATCCATAATACAATTTTGAAACCTTTCTATGCCATCTTCTCTTCCTGCAATTCTAAATTCTTTGATATGATTTCAAAATTGTGTTAAGAATCTATTGAAAATTTTATTGCTCTACTGTTGCATTTTGTTGCATTTTGAAATTACGAATTTTTTCTTTGTACAAATTTTAAAAAGTGTTTAAGGATTTTAAACAAATAATTTTCATAAGGATTTCTAAATTAGTTGAATTATATATGATTGGAATTTTTAATTTAATTTTAATTAAACTATATATAACAGAAATTAAAAAAAAAACTATTATATTAAAAATATGACGTTATATTAATATATGAATATGTATGGAGATATATATATATATATATATTTATTTAAGTTATTTAATTTTCATCAATATATGAAAGAATACATACAAATAAAATATTTGTTAAGAGAGAATATATTGAGAAAAATTCTTTATAACAAAATCAATGCTTTTTCAAATCTGCAAATTCCATGACTTCAAAAATATAATTATTTATTTAAAATTATGCAATTAACCGAATGAATTTCAAATGTGTAATATGTAGGCCAATTATGTTAACACACCCATAATTTTTCATTACAAAAAAGAGTAATATTTTTGTATATGAATGAAAATAAATTTAAATAACGTTATAGATTATATTTCAATAGCAATATTTTCACTTGTTCGAGAGAAAAGTGCTTTTCTACCAACCAATCATATTGGTTTGGCTCAAACTCTTTATTCTCTTTATTCTAAAAACTCTTTGACCTTTTACTATAAAAATGTATACAAAATTTAATTATTATTCTTATTGAAAATTTCAAAAATGTGAGCAATCTTGTTTGCAAAAATTAAATATCCATTTAAAAAAAATAAAATTGAGTCAAACTAATGGTTTGTATTGTAGCACTTTTCCCTTAAACACGTGAAAACATTGCTTTAAATACAGTCTATGTATACCTACCACACTATTAAAATTATTTTCATTTATATACGAAACTATTTCTAGGATTGCATATATTTAGGATGAACGATTAATGCAGTCTTTGAAATAAAGTAAAATTTAATATAAAGAGGGGTTAACATAATGCTCGATTTTAAGGGTTAATAGCGTGAGTTGAGAAAAATAATTATATTTTTCAATGTCATGGAATTTACCGTTAGTTTTTTGCGTTTATAGAAATTTGAAAAAACTTGCGGTTTCGGAAATATAAAGTGTCAAAAATTTAAATTTTACAAATTTCAAGAGGCGATAACGTGAGACGGGGTGGAGGTGGAAAAAAAAAATTCTTCTAACGAAATAAAGTATTTATTAGGGTCTAAGAGGTACTAAAATTTCAGACTCCTACATCCTGGGGTCTAGAAGAAAAAGGACATCAAAAATTTGGAAAAAAAGAAAGTATGATTATAGTATGTCGCGATAGGACAAGCAAGCCACTGCCTTTTTGTGTTTGCAAAATTTGAAAAATGCTTATGGTTTCACTGCAATAAATAGTTAAAAATGGCATTTTCAGGGATTTGGGGGGTATAACTTCTAGAGGGGGGAGATGGGTGAAAATTCTTCTACAGAAATTCTATTTCTTCTACAGAAATAAGTTTCTAGTAAAGATCTATGTACATATAAAATTTCAGCTTTCTATCTTCAAGGGTGTAGAATAGAGTGAAACTAATAAACACATTTTTTCAAAAATTTTTTGGAAAAGTGCTTAAAAGGGAAAGGTTTGATTTGAAAGTGAATAACAAATCGTCTCCATACAAAAGTTTTGTCTACTCATGAGGGCCTATACAATGGCGTATAGCAATGAACTTTGTTACGAGACATCCTGTATATATAAAGATCGTTATAAAGAAATTTTCTCTTTTAACTTTTTTTTTTTGGTATTACTACTTATTTCCATATTTTCCGCTTCTTTTAATTTTTAACTTATTTTTTTCTTAATTAATTTTCTAAATTGATAGAATTAAAAATATCAGCGGCTATTTATTAAAAAATAAAAGGATAACAAATACCACACCAACAACAACAAAAACAATATTAAAGCGCGCATACAACAATGTTACTATATAGTGTTTAAAAAAAAAAAAATATGAAGAAACTAAAACATGCAACCAACCCCCAAATATAATAATTTAAAAAAATATATTTAATTCATAATTAATAAAAAATTGAAATAAAAACTAAATTTATTATAATAAAAAAATAATTTATTTAAGTTATTGATAACAATAATAATAACAAAAAAAAAAAAACTATTAATAATAAAATATATAAAAGTAGTGCACCAGAGAAAGGCCTTATGAAATATGAATAAATGAAATTAAAATAAAATTAAAATAAAAAAAAAATACAAGAACGCTACAATTAAAAAAAATATATAATTTTTTAGGTCGTTAAGAAAAAAAAACAAAAAAAGAAAAACAAAAAAATAATTAAATTATTTTAGATTAAAATTTAAAAATTAATTTATTAAAAATTTCATATTATGTAATTTAATTAAATTAATTATATATGTATTTTATGTAATATAAAAATTCAAATATAAATTTAAAAAGAAATATATATTAAATAAATTATTTTTATTAATAAAAATTCCAAATATTAGTAAAAAAACAAAGACATTATCAAAAAAAATTTACTCAAAAAATATTTAAGTATGACATACTTAATTATGTTTTTTGAATTTTAATAATTATTATTTTAAATATATAGCTACACATCTGTGGAACAAAAAGGAATAATCGCCAAATTCGACTTTATCGAAAAGTTAGATAACTTTTTCACAAATATTTTCAATATTCAAATTGATATTAAAAAAATTTTGGTACACTCAATTATTTATTTTGGCTAAGTTACTAAAGTTAAAAATTTTCTATAAGTAATTGCTAAAGTTTAACATATTAACCGCTTAAAATATAAATATATCGTTTAAATTTTTACAACATAATTAGCCAAAATAGCTGAATTTACTTTTACTGTTTTATTTTAAAATTTTAAATTTTATCCAATTCTTTTCCAGCACATACTCAATGAACAAAATTAACAAAATTTACTTAAGTCTAGTACAACTAAAAATTATAAATTTGAAATAAATACTCGTAACCAAAATACATTTTAGAAATTTAAAAAACTTTTGTTGAAAACAATTTGGAAAAAACAATAAAACGAACCTTAAATGAACAAAAAAAAGTTTTTTAAATTGTATAAAATTTACAAAAAACAAAACAAAAATTGCAATCTCAATTGGAACTTAACTCCAAATTCCAAATAAAAATACCTTTTGAGTCCTAATCTTGCTATCCAATTCATAGAAATTGACAAACTAGGATGATAAAAATTATGCAAATATAAAATGTTTGCTCTTATGAAAATTATCAATAATCAACTTTAGGTATTATTCCTTTCTGCCACACACATATAATGTAGCGTATAATATATGAATAAGTAAATATAACAAAAAGCTTTGTTTTTTGGAAAGTTTTTATAATCTCTTCTTTATATTAACAGTTAAATTCTTGAAATCTTACAGAAACTGTAACTTTTTAAGGCAGCAAAAATCAAAAAAATCTTGAAATATTTAAAAATATCAAATATATAAAATTTTTAATCTTTTCACAAAATTTTTTTTCTTCATTAACTTTTTAAATAATATAATCCAACAAAAAGAAAAAGTAATAGAAAAAAAACGTAAAACTGATATGCAATAAAAAGATAACATTTATAAAATTAGGAGAACTTAGGTAAACATAAAAAAAAATATGATAAATTTTTCTTTTTATCCGACCGCATTATATACAGTGAGGTACTAGATTATGTGATGGCACCAAATTTTGGAAGTCGAGTTTTTGGTTGGAACGCAGTTATCCATAGTAGGGAAGCGTAAATAAACTACTTTTAGAGAGATGTCGGCCATGTCGGTCTGTGTGAGCACGCGTGTATTTCAAGTTCGGCTGAATTGATTTTGATGAAATTTTATATGTGAGTTTATTTCGACTATTTCATGGATTGATCTACTTTTGAGATATATCAGGTCTCGGTTACTTGACCTTTTTTGGTGGTTTGTAATATCAACCAATTTTTGCGTATATCAAGAGAAATAATCAACCAATTTCCTTGAAATTTAATATTTAAATTTGGGGTGTTAAAACAATTGCATAACCATATGACGTCGTTACCTGTAGAAGAGAAAAAACTTGTATGTGGTAATTTGAACGGGCATATAGGTCTGAAGAAAAATCTGGCACGACGGGTTCGTTTATGGTGTAAGAAATCAAGAAAGAGAAAATCTGTTAAAATTTGCTGGACCTTTTGATCTAGCTATAGTCAATAGTTTCTTCGCAAAAAAGGACGAACACTTGATTACTTGATTACATATAAAAGTGGGGAAACTGCCCGTTAATAGATTTCATCCTATACAATCACGACAATTTGAAAGACTTCCGAAATTGCTTAGTCATACCCAGTGAACCTCTTGTTTCACAACACAGACTTCTTGTTGCAGATTCAAAACTGAAAAATGCAGTAGGAGCAGAAAATTAAATGTCATAAGATTAAAAAGCTTGAGGGTTTTCGTATAATACAAGAGTTGAAAGAATTCTTGGATCAATGTAAGACAGCAGAAGCGGCGCCAAGTTATGTTATATGTGGTTATCTTTTCAAACCAAAAAAGCACTAAATATCTGGATACATCAAAAGGACCTCCCAGAAATAATAAAGAAAGCCGGTGGTGGAACGAACAAGTGCAAGAGAAATTAAAGTTGAAAACGAATTTGTTTAAATAATGGCAAAAATGAAGAAACGCAGAAAATAAAGAAATGTACAACAAAACCAAGAAAGAAGCCAAAAAAGAAGTAGCTATCGCTAAAAATAATGCCGGTAATGAAATGTACAATGAATTGGAAACTGATAAGTTAGGTAGTAAAATCTTTAAGATAGCAAAACATCGCAGTAATAAATCTAAACATATTCGGGCGTCAAAATATACGACGCAACATCACAAGCGATGAAGGCAACATCTTAACAGCTGATGAACATATTAGCGCAAGATGAAGAGAATACTACCAAATTTGCTAAACGAAGAATTTACCCGAGAGCTACTTAACCAAATAGTGCAAATTCAGGGTCCGATATACGAAATTTCAGCACATGAACTAGATACCGAATTCAAGGAAATGAAAATTGGTAAAGCTGTGAGACCCGATAATGTTCCTATAGAAATTTTAAAAACCCTCAGGAACAGTGTTAGTATGTGGTTGAGACAACTACTCAACAAAATCTTGCAAGAACATACGAAGCCAGAAGAACGGAGTTGTAGTACAATAGTGCCAGTTTACAAAAACAAAGGCGATGTATTAAACTGCAAAAATTACAGAGATATTAAATTGACATCTCATACCGTGAAGCTTTGGGAAAGAATCATTCACACTAGATTACCTGACTACCTAACATGAGATTTTCAAAGACCTACTCTATCTTCAAACATCTTATATGCTAATCATATAGTGTTGATAAGTTAGAGTATTCAACAACTCGAAGATCTTAACACCTGGTACGTTGCACTGAAAAGAAATCGGTTACGTATTAATGTTACCAAAACCGAATATCTTCCAGCAAATATTAGCCAAAAAAAAATTTCATTGCCCCGCAAAATACCATTAAGATCCAGGAAGAATCGCTCACTTAGCTTAGATCAAATGTAGGATGATTAAAGTACTTTATCTTTATCTTCACTAAACCAGGCAATATACATTGCGGTTGGTTATACGCTGACCACATCAGATTTTTTTTTAATAAAATTTTTCAATTTCATTAAAATTGTAATATCATGACTTAAAAATTTGCAGTTATATTTTCAGCCTTTAATTTCAGAAAAATTGGTTGATTTTTTTCCTATATACTCGTATGTGCAAAAATATAAATTTGGGCCCTAGTAAACGACTAGTGGCTGGTTCCTGATTTCTACCAAAAGTTGATCAATCTGTTCCATAGCCAAAATAAACTCTTATAATATTTCACGACACCGACAAACCGAAAGACCGACAGATTCCCCATGGTAGGGAAACGTAAACTAAGGCGAAAATTCAGCGTGAAGAAGAAGAACGTAAACGACGTATTTACCGAAATCTCGATACGCGAAATTTAGTGTGATCAATAAAAAAAATTGCTTGCAATGCGGTCGGGAATTAAAAACATTAAAAAATTAAGTGCGGACCAAATTAGCAGCTATGTGAACATCCGAATTCCATATTTTCTTTCTATATATAATATAGTCTACGATGATTGCACAAAAATGTGGAAATAGTTTTCTGTATAAACCCATATTTATATTATATAAATATAAAAAAATTTTTAAATTTTAATTCTTAGTATGAAAATTCAAATGAAGGACATTTAATAGGGACAACATTAAATAAGGGCATTTTAATATCAAACAATGCTGTGTGATAATAGGCAACAATTTTCTTGAACTAATGAAAGAACATCATTACATAGTATGAAATATAAATTATTTTATGGAGAAATTACATAATGCATAACGCCAATGCATAATCGATTATTTACTGATTCACTCAAATTTTCAAATTTTCAAGACTTATGAAGAAATAGCGTATAATATTATAATCTATGTGCGCATTTATTTTATTTCTTCCCCCATGCACTGACAAATTCACGAATGACACCAAAATTGATGTATAATAAATTATATTAATATATAACAGCAATAATTTTTTATATGACATATGGCATAAGTTTGAACGTTTCAACAAAATGTCCGGTGTATTGGTATTCAAAATCAAACCGGCACTATGATATCTTTTGAAATTTGGCCCTTAATGTCCCACAACTTAACCGTTTAGCATCAAAAGAAAAAAAATTATCTTATCCGATGGTAATGAATTTTTAGGTACAGTTTATGCATATATTTAATAAGAATTTTATTTTGAAAATTTTACATCGACCAGCTTGTCTCCATTATCCAGAGACAAACTTTGATATAAATTTTAAATATATCACGGGAAATTTTTGATTTTTTTTAAATACATTCTTCATTCAATTTTCCCATATTTTTAATTTAATTTTGATAATAAAATTAATTTTTTCATTTTGGTCTTTTTTAAATATTGTAGCGATCCCCACTAATATTGTAATCTACTACAAAATATTATTATATAAGCATATGTGTGCAGTTAATATATACATTAATAACAACATAATTTTTGCCTTTATAAAAATTAAAAAAAAAAGTATTGAATTGTATATATGAAACATTTAAACTAAAATTAAAAACAAAAACAAACGAAGCTTTAAATTGTAAAATAAAATTATAAATTTAATTATATAAAAAAAACTGAAATATTTTAAATTTTATTAAAAAAAAAACAAAAAAAAAAATAAAAAATTATATAAATATATCGCCCGGAAACTCTTAACAAATCTCCTTCAAATCCTGAACCCGCCAGCGACGTTATCACTTTACCCATTAACTGTTTGTTTTTTCATTTACAAAAATAATCTCAATCGAAAATTATATAAAAAATAAATTAAATTTTTAGTCTGTTTAACTATTATATTATATACGGAAAACAAAAACAAGAAATAAAAAAAATCACCAAATTATACACAATCTCTCTTAAGTAAATTAACAAAAATTAAATTAAATATTAAAGCAAATATTTAAAGAAAATTCTAAATAAAAAATCATTTAATAAAACTAAAGAAAAACTCTTTAAAATCAAAACTTTAGTATATAAGAATTTAATAAAGAACTCATAATATAATATATAGCAATTATATATATATATATATATATAAAAGTATATATTAAATAATTTTCCCCCCTTTTAATAAATTATAAATTACACAACATCCTATACAAACTATAAAAAATTATTAATATACTACTGCAACTAATAATATATTAAATATACTAAAAACTATTATATTATTATAAAATTAAAATTATAATAATAAGAAAAATATTATAATTTATTAAAAAACAAAAAAAAAAAAAATAATCAATTATGATTGATCCAAGTTCAAGTGAAGAGGAAAGTGATGAAGATCATCATCAAGCAAAAGGTGGTGGTGGTCGTGGTGGATCATCACAAAATGCCACATCACAAAAGACACAAAAATCATCAGCTACCGGTAGTAGTGGTGGTGGTTCAAAAATTATTGGTAATTCAATTGGACCACAATTTGGACAAACTGGTCCTGGTAATACCGGTAGTATCGGTAATTCAATTGGTGATCCTGGTATTGGTGGTCCAGCTAGTGGTGGTACACCACATCATATACCAGCTGGTGCTGTACCAGCAATTGGTGGTAGCACTGGTCAACCAATATTGGCACCATCATTACAACAACATAAAGAATTTGGACAACATTTACATGCCGGTAGTGATACATCCGGTAGCCTTGAAGTGCCCAACAACGCAACAATGCCCAGGTAAAAAATTTGTTGTTTTTTTCTATCTCTCTAATTCTTTTATTCTCTCTTTTTTTTTTAATTATTTTAAGTTGTATTTTTGTATCACATTTTTTAAATTAATTACAAAAATTTCAGAAAAATTTTAAAATAAATTTAATTTAATAATTTTAATTAATTTTAATTAATAAAAATTTTTAAACATCAATGTAATATTTTCTTACCGTTAACAAGAATAATATACAAATTTTATTCATTCGGCAAAATCATATAGCTCTTCTATAGGATTTTAAATGCGGTTATATAGGATAACCGTTGAAAAAATTGCAAAGGCCTGTTGATATAACTTTTGTTCGAACACCCTTTGAAAAATCAATTTCAGTCAGTACAGTTCAGACCACAAAATAAATTCTAAGGAAGAGCAAGCAATATGAAATCCGTGTTTGTATAATTCAAGATTCGTCTCGTACACGATGTAAAATTTCAAAAATATGTAATACATATAGAGCTCAAAATCACATTAATATCGTATCCTGAAATCGGAATTGTAATAATACCATATAGCTAAATTGGCATTTATAAGCTGAATTCACAGTATTATTAAAATTTCGATCTCGGGGATAAGTATACACAATTCAGCTCATGTATTATAATTGCTGAATTGTGTAGGAGCACTGTATTCCCAGAATTTTGAGGTTACGGATATTTAATACTAAGTTTTTTTCTCATATAAGCAGATTTTTTCGAAAATAAATTTTTTTTATTTACAAACTTACAATTTAATTATAAATTTTACTTTTTCTTTTTTATTTCATTTCATATTGTATCGCTCAACAAAATTAAAAAAAAAAAACATGATTTCTATACATAACTATTATAAAAAAAAATATATACACCAATCACATATGGATTAAATCGCATATTATAAAAAAAATCATTCATTTAATCAATAATCGCTGAATCACGTATATTTTGAATTTTTTATACAACTTGCGTATCCAAATTGGCATGGCTTTCTTAATAAAAAAAAAAACATATTTCATTTCAAATTTATTAATTTTGAATATAAAAATAATAAAAGAACTTTATCACCATCTAGTGGTCTATCACAGGAAACATTAAGTCAAAGTGTCGGGTCATCCAGAGCAAATTCATTACCTCGACCACATTCACCTTCTCCGTCCGTAGCAAGCGATAAGAATGAGGGTGATATACAGGTAAAATTATTCATGTAAAACTTAAATTATCATTTAATATCACACATCATTCTCGATCAATAATGACAATTCAAAACGAAAAATTATCTTTATTATATAAAAAAAATAGGAAAAGCATGAACGTGAAGAAGAAGAACGTAAACGACGTATTCAACTGTACGTTTTTGTATCCCGTTGTGTATCATACCCATTTAATGCTAAACAACCGACAGATATGACAAAAAGACAAATAAAAATAACAAAACACCAATTAGAAGCTATAACTTCCAGATTTCAGGTAATTATAAAAAAGGGTGTATATACGTAGATATTTAGCTATTTTGGATTTATATTATATAAAAACAATATCCGATTTTGTTATCGCAATATACCCAATTCAGCTAATATTAAAAAACATTCAGCTAGTGAGTTGTGTAGTTACTGAATTTTTAAGCTATATATAGTAATATTACAATTTTGAAAAGGTAAAATGTTATTTCATAACACGAAAAATATTTTAAAAGTCTACTCATACCTCATTTATTTCAGATTAGAAAGTTTATCAAGCTTATTTAGCAAATATAGGTACAATTTCAATATTGTTCATAAGTCAAAATGACGTTACATTTGGAGTTATGGACATGATGTTTAAATTCTTTTTTAATATCATACAAAAATATCTTCTTGACTTTGAAATCTTTGACCTCGAATACTTCTCCTTTAAGTCAAATTTTAGAATGGTTGAATGAATGAAATTTTTTGGAATAGATTTACAATTATATAGGCGTGTTTTTTCATATAATGCATGAAAGTGAAATGTCCCTTTAAAATTGTATTTATATTACTATGATTTACAATTTAGGCTTAAAGCAACCTACTATACAGCTCTGATTTATATATACTCGTAGTAATATTAATGCCTAATAGTTAAAATTTCTTTTTTTCAAATTAATTTGGAAATTAGGCGTTCCTTAAGGGTGAAACCCAAATAATGGCCGATGAAGCATTTCAAAATGCTGTTCAAAGTTATCATGATGTATTTTTAAAATCAGAACGTGTTACAAAAATGGTACAATCCGGTGCATGTTCTCAACATGATTTTAGAGAAGTATTTCGCAATAATATAGAAAAACGTGTTAGATCACTACCAGAAATTGATGGTTTAAGTAAAGAAACTGTTTTAACATCATGGATGGCCAAATTTGATTGTATATTAAAAGGCACTGGTAAGTTAAAAACAACAAAACAAAAAAAAAATTTCTATTTTTATTTTTATTTTATTGAATGCGTATAGGTGACGAAGACACCAAACGTCCTTCTAGAATGCAACAATCATTAAATAGTGAATTAATATTATCAAAGGAGCAATTATATGATATGTTTCAACAGATTTTAGGTGTTAAAAAATTTGAACACCAAATTTTATTTAATGCCTTAATGGTAAAATATAGATATATTTATTTCACAAACTATCTTTAATAAAAAAAATATTAAAAAAAAAATTTTTTGTTGCACTGAAATACAATGAACCCAGCCTTTAAAATAATACAATAATTAAATTACACTATTTAAAATGAAATTTTGGACTAAATGTTCGTTCGGGTCACAAAAATTGTTTTCCAATTTTTGCTTTATTCAATAACATGAAAGTCAATGCTAAAGAAAATAAATATTTCTCTAAACATGACCGTATAACTAACTTAAAATTAATGCAAATACTTTAACTATTGCAATAATCTCTGAAATAAATACTTGAATATAAAAACTACATGATTTAAAAAAGGCCCACAAAAATTAAGAATTTTAATGCAACAAAAGTTTGTTTTAATGCAACATCAATTTAATAATCTAACCTTGACTTTAAAACTATCACCATTAAATATATACAATTCAGCTTGTGCGTTGTAATTGCTGAATTGTGTAAAAAATACAGTAATACAGTAATTTTTAAAGTCATGATTTAATTATTAATTAATTATTTATATAAATAAAATATTTTATTATAAATTCTTTGATTTATTCAAACTCGAAAAGTAATTTTTTTTTTACCCCTCATTCAAACTACTTCAACATATTGTGGTTTGAACTAATATGCATATATCAATATTCAAATATATATATATATAAATTAATACAGCTTGATTCAGCTGATGAACAAGCAGCAGCAATACGTCGCGAATTAGATGGTAGAATGCAACGTGTTAGTGAAATGGAAAAAAATCGTAAATTAATGCCAAAATTTGTATTAAAAGAAATGGAATCACTTTATATTGAAGAATTAAAATCATCAATTAATTTATTAATGGCTAATTTAGAATCATTACCAGTATCAAAAGGCTCAATGGATTCAAAATATGGATTACAAAAGCTGAAACGTTATAATCACAGGTATTGGTGGAATTTATAAGCGTCTAAATAAAATATAAATATTTAAATATTTAAATACTATATAAATATTTCTAGCCCTAATTTGATACAAAATGAAAATAAATAAATTTTAAATATTCTTTTGCATATTCTATATATCATATATCACGTGACCACATATATATATATATAGAATAACACTGTCTAATATATCAAAATTAGAGCTCGGAAAGCTCTTTTAATCGGAATTCTTTTAATAATTTTCATACATTAACATGGTCGAAATATATAAGAAAAATTATTAGATGAAAATTGTTAATATACCAAAACCGCGTATAAGCCATCTCTAGCTGTTCGGAAAATTAGAAATAAAACAGATGAGAATCTTACCGTTGCAAATCTAATGTTTTTTTTTTTATAATTCGTGTTGCTACAGTGTTATTCTAAAAAAAAAAGGTCCGGATATAAATATATTATTCTGAAAATATTATTCACGAGAAATTATCAAGAATATGTTTTCAAGCACATTAAATTATAAAATTTGTAAAAGACAATATATAAAAAATTAAATGATTCTGGTATTGAAATTGCAGTAACTTTTATGTGTTTTATACACAATTCAGTTTATAGAAAAACCTTAATTGTTGTATGCTTACAAAAGTGAATAACTGCAATTTTGATGTCAAAATAGCATATATACAGAATATTCGGTTTACGACTAAGTACAATGCTTATATACCATATAGTTTAGACTATTATGAGAAAAAGTTTTGTACTTTTTTTTTTAAATTGCAATTCTTTTCCGATCACTAAAACTGATATAAGACAAATTTTATTTATAATAATATAGGGTTATATATACGATCTAAACATATATTTCACTTCGGTTTTTAAAGCTATACATTAAAGTTTAATTTAAAATATACTTCTGTCACGGCGATAAAGTTTTTCCTTAAACTTTAAAATTTTTCAGCTTAATTTCTCTCTATACTAAAGCCTTTAAATATATATTGAATTATTTCCGAAATTATTGTTTAAAATTTAAAAATTGTGAAAACCGACTTACAAATAAGTGTAGTCAAAGGTTATCTTACTATATATATATATTCATTCCTGGCGTCAAAACTGTACTAATATATCATATGGCATAATAATACACTTTCCAGCTCATAAGTAATAATTGCTGAATTAAATTTTGAAGTTAACTCTATACGATATGATATAAATAACTTTTATTATTATATGTAAATCATAATAATATTATATTTACTATAAACAATTCAGCTTATAAAGTACTAATTGCTGAATTATGTATAAATACAGTATTAGCCGAATTTGGATATTAGGGGATATGTATAAATACATATATACATACAAATATTGTGTTATTTAACAAAATTTTTTTTGAAAATCCATGCCTCTAATATTTTATACACCTAATTGTAAATAACAAATTTTTTCTTTTCAAATTTAAAACTTTTTTATATTTTCATTTAAATTATTAATTAAAAAAAAAAATATATATATATACATATATTTTATTCAGCTTAATACACTAAATTTTTCGATGTTCAGCATTCGACTATATAATTTCAATATATTTAATTTGTTATTAAATTTGGCAGAATTTGGTTTCATTTAATAAGTTTGACCAAAAAAAAAATTTAATAAAATAAAGAAAACGAAAAAAAATATTTTGCTTGTAATTTTTCACGTTATTTTCGTTATCTGCTTTTCGCCTACTGTAGCTGTCGTCTGATTGTATTTTACTTTTCTTTTTTGAATTTTTCTTTTTAGTTTAAAATTTGCTTTTTGTTTGTTTTCTTTTTGTGTTTTGCTGAGGTATTTTTCAATTAAAAATGTAAAAACAAATTTTTGTATTATAAAACTCTATTCCATCTCCAATAACTGGTTCAACTCAAAATTTTCATTAATTTATTTTATTTCGTATAAAACAGATGTATGCAGAATTGCTGAATAAAATGAATTCTCAAAAAGGTGTTAGATTTTGAAACTAAACAGTATCACTGACTTCAGAATTACTTTATATAACACGGCATTATTAAACAATTCAGTCTAAAAATTGTAATTGCTGAATTGTGTTCAGCAAATTTTAATTTAATTTATTGATTTAATTTTGAAGTCAAGGCGATATTGGAGGTTTTTATGTTTTTAAACACTTGTTTCTTTTTTCTTTGCTGAAAAATTATAATTGAAAAAAATTTTCGATATATTTTTAATTAATCACAAAACCTGCTATAAAAATGAAGGATATATATATATTAGGAATGACGTTATATAAAACGAACGGTGGCATTTTAGGAATTTCGAATAATAAAATATCGTGCAAATTTGAAAATGGGGGAGGGAAAGCCTCAGTATAATAATTTATGTTATAACAGAAAAAACTAAAATATGAAGAACTACCTATATATTCACTTTTAATGTTTAAAAATATATTTTTATTTATATAATATAGGTATATAAAATATTTTCTATTCTTTTTTTTATTTCTATTTTTTTTTATATAAAAAAATTTTTTTTTATATAATTATGCGTTTACAGGTGTAATTCATTAATGAAAGTTTGGTAAGATCTCATTTGATTTCCATGATGAATTTGCATGGTCTTTTCATGTTTTTATTTCTTTTTTTTTTTATTTCTTTTCGTTAATTGTAATATACACAAATATATTAACAGGTGACTTCGAAACTACACTAATACTGTATTACTATACAATTCAGCAACTATAACTCATAAGCTGAATTGTATATTTTCACAGTATTTTCTGTAATTTTAAAATCACGATACTCTTATGCAAACATGTCTATATATATATAGTTTATATAAATATACATATACATACATGTTATAATTCGTAAATATTGTTGTGTTAGTAGATTATATGTATATATATATATGTATATATATAAATGTATGTATATATATATATATATATATATATATATATATATATATGAACGTGTGTAAATATAAATATACATATATATTTATATAAAATAATAAATAGACGTAGGCGTTTATTGTATCATTATTATTTTTATTATTATTTAGGTTGCGTTGCAAACTTTAATATAATTGACTAATATTATAATTATCCATACATATATAAACGTTTAATATACATATTTCTTTTCTCATTATTACATATTATATCATAAGTATATAAGTTAATATATATATATATATATATAAATATATAATCAAATTTCAAAATTGCAATAATATTTTTATGTATGCCTTTAAAATTCTATAATTACACAGACGATATTCATATGCAATTCAGCTTATGAATTATTATAGCTGAATTGTGTTTTTATAACGTTTTATCACTATATATACAGCAATTTTGAAGTCAGGGTTTATAATCATATAACATATGGATTATTTAAAATAAAAAAAGATTATTTGAAAAAAAAACATAGAGTAGAAAAGTATAATATTTGCAATATTTGTGAAACTATACATGTTGCCTTAAGAGCATCTCTTTAGCCTGTCTTGTCTTACATTCATTAATTAATTTCAAGTTATACATATAATGAGTAGTAATAACTTTCATATCAGTTATTTATATATGGTTATTTTACCACATACTATTTAGGTGTTGCATAAAGGATTAGAAATTTTAAATATTTTTTTCAAATGATCGCTTGCATAATTAGCTAGCTATTCATTTAAAAAAACCCCAACTTAATAATAATAAATATCTGTATTTAAAATATAATTCAGTCTTATGAGTTATAATTGCTTATTTGTACAATTAGTAATTAAAAAAGGTGTCTCAAAATTCACGCAGGAAGTAATTTCGAGAGAAATCACAGGTTTATAATTAAAAATTGTAAATTTTTACTGATTAATATAGTATAGACTATAAGGTTATGTATGGAATAGCATTTCGGGTAAATGGCCCCCACCGCTTTGGTGGCACATACGAATTCTTTTGCTGAAATTTTCCATGATTGTGTTCCATAAATATGACTGAATTTCGGTGATACAGCGCTGAATCCCCTCCTTCAAGGCGTGGGTGGTCGTGGGCTTGTCGACATAAACCTTATATTCAAAAAACCCAAAAAAAAATCCAACGGCGTTGAATGGCATGATCTGGGCGGCCAATTTCGATTACCAAAATGTCACGTTGTGGATGCATGTGTTTCTCAACAATCACTTGTTGATTTTCTGAACCGCAAATGCGACAATTTTTTAATTAACAAAACCATGAAAAGCCTCATCGCTGAAGGTGATTTTGTTCGAAAAACTTTCATTATACAAAATATTGCTCAACAATAAAAATTCGTTGTCATTTTGTGTAGCGCTCCATTTTTAATAACCCTGAACTGTCAGCAGCCACGCTGTATTTGTTTTTAGAAAATTCAAATCTTGTGTGAATTTTGGCACACTCTTTACTATACTGTAATAATGAAGTCGCCCGCGATTACAGTGACATCACTAAATCTTATTTATACTACATACATTTTATTCATACATTTTATATTTTATATATTGATAATGTTATTGAAAAATTTTATATCAGGGTATTTGTAAATGTAAACAATATATTAAAGTTTATAACACTAACTTTTATATATACATATGTATGTATAACAGTGGACATGTGAATAAGCACATGTATTTTTGAATTTTCCGAAGCTGCTTTTGAATGATAAACAAAAATAACCTACCATCTTTCATTTTAAGGCGAAGTCAATTTTCGGCGGCGTATTCTTTTGCCGGAAATTATTTTCACAATATATTTATTTAGATTTTTATACTATACAAACTGGTTTTTTTATTAGGACTTGTGAACTCAAAATCAGATGAATTTTCAATTGCTGAATTGTGTATTGGACACCATATTATGGCATTTTAGGTCAGAAATTTTCAGCATCTCCCTCTTTATCTTCTGGAAAATTTTTTGATTATTATTATTATATTTTTTTTCTTTCTTTTTTAAATTTTTTTTAAACTTGTATTTTTTCCCCTATTTTTCTTTTTGCTATAGTTGATTAATTTTAGTCAATCAGGTTTGCGGTTCTCTCCACAATAGAGTTTTGCAGTGCGTTTTTCGTTTTGTTTTTTTCTCAGTACTTGCAGTTGACAGCTTTATTTTTTTAGCATTTTTTTTTTCAATTAATTTTTAATCCGTTTTGAAAAACGAGTGAGCATCACTCCCTTATATTTTTGTGAGAGTCTATACGAAAAATTCTGATTTAGCATGAACTTAATTTATTCAACAATTAAAGTTTTAATTACTGAATAAGTTAAGCTAACGTTAGATCTATATATAATTTGATGAACTCCCTATAACATGTATTATGATCTAGACAGGCTGACAATATTACTATGAGGTCTTTTAACATTATAGAATATTTTACATTCTCTATTATACTGGAAGAACAATTACTTTTAAATAATAAGGAAATTTTGTATTAACTAAAATAAAAAGGGACTTAAATACATTTAAGTACATAAGGGACTTAAAGAAATTTAAATCCTTTTATAGAAAATAAATTTTATATATCCTTAGAATTCTTAGATATATATTTTATTTAGACTTATAGGTTTTCAAAATTTACAATATTAAATAATATACATTATCTTGAGTTTTTAGAAATATTTTTACTGTATTTTATTCATTGAATTATTTGAATTTTTCTCCATCACATACATTTTAATTTTTGTAGCAATGAAATGTTTTAAATGCTGACTTTTATGTAACTTTAACGAGTAAAATTATTTAAAGACAAAAAAAACAAAAACTCTAATTTAATATTTCAGTTTTTTAACAAAATTTAGCAAATTAGGACTCATTTGAAGCTGAATTTCGCATTGTAATGTCCCCATTACTGTGCAACAATTCTGAAATCATATATCAAGAATATTATTCTATTGTAATATATAAAAATTTTTACCTTATTATTATCATAGTAATATTCTGATGTCAGGATATATATATAAGGTGTCCGAGATTCAATGGTATCCCCGAAACAGGGTGATAAAATGACTTTAGACGAACAAAAAACAGCATTCGAACTTTAGAAAAATTCTAATTTTTCTCAACTTTTATTTTTTTACTTTTTTTGCGCCGACAATTTTTTATGAATTTTTTTTAAAGTTCCAAAATTCCCTTCGCAGGATTTTGCCCAGCTGCTTAAACTTGAATTTAAGTCATTAGGCATTAAAAAATCTTTCGCGGTACAGGAGATATAGCAAAAAAAAAAAAATAACATTTCTATGTCCAGTTCTTAAAGGCCGTAATAGAATGTGTAAACTCAAAAAATTATGACTATTTTTCATTGTCGGGGAAGAAAAATTAAAAAAATAAAAGTTGAAAAAAATTGGAATTTACTTAAAATTTGAAGCCTTGTATTTCCGAAAAACATATAGAACCAAATAACTCGTTATTCTTTATTTAAAGCTCTCTTAAAGCTCTTTCAAATTTCTTTGAAACTGGTATCTTTTTTGGAACGGAATTTATAAGCAAAAACATTTAAGTATGCCAAAATTTTGCCAAATTTTCTTAAAATCCCTGTAGCTCAGAAACAGTTCCGATTTAACACTTTGTTCCGAACAAAAATTTTACTTATTTTTGACCCTCTACCCGATGGTATATGGCTCCTAACTTATGTGAATCACCCTGTATATATATGTGCTTGAACATCGGATATATATGTAAACTTGTATATGTATTTTATACATACATGGTATACATATGTATTTTAAACATATATAAGTTAAATTTAGCTGCTTAGTCATTAAAACTGAAATCGACTTATATATTTTGCTAAAAACTATTCTATTCTACTGTATTTCTAATAACGCTTGGATTATTTGTATGACTTAGAAATTTCGGTAATACTGCAATTAATACAAATCATTCAAAAATTACGAAATTATCAGATGAATTGTATTTTAATACTGCGTATTACTGTAATTTTGGAGTCACAAAGTTTGATATTATGATAACATTAGAGGCATTAAAAGGATTTAAGGAATATAAATATTAAAAAACAAAAATATAGACCTTTATATATAGACCTATTTGATTAAATTTAATTTTGAAAATTAAAAAAAATTAATTTGTTTAATTTTATTAATTTTTTTTCTTCTTTTATTACTATTTCATGATATCAAACATTCATAAAACTCTTATTATATACTCTTACATTTTTTATACATTAAATTAAAATTAATTTAAATTGAATTTCCGGATAGCCATAAATATGAAATTTCTAATTGTAAAGTCAAACAAACCGGAAGTTACATAAAAAAAAATTATTAATGTTGTTGCTTGTTTTTTTTTTATTTGAAAAAAAAAACGTTGAACATAATATGAAATTGTTGCTATATTGTTCCTGTTTTTTTTTATTTCAATGCAATTTTTTTTTTCTTTTTTTTTGAATGTTTGACGTACTTTGTTTACCTTACGTTTTGAAAATAATATTAAGTAAATATTATATCCTTTTTTATTTTATTTAAATATATATATAAAAAGGGATAAAAATTTTAGGATATCATGCTAAATGTATTTTTTTTTTATCATAAATAAAACACCAACCATCTGACTTCAAAAATGCAATAATATCAAATGTTAATACACAATTCAGCAATTAAAATTCATAAGCTGAATTGTACTTTTATATACACAATATTACTGCAGTTTTGAAGTCATCATATATGGATCTTTTTCTAAAGAATTTAAAAAAATTAAATAAAATATTTGTAAATGAGTGAGAAATTTTAGTCAAAGCTTATTATATTTGAATATATCTGATTTGAAAATCTCAGTAATTACGGTATTATAAATTCAATTCAGCTTATGCACTGAAATTGCTGAATTGAGCATTAATACCTTATGACTTGAATTTTGAAGTCAGGGTTATGTTTATGTTTAAACAAAAATTATTGTGAAAGAAAATTAAAGGAAAACACACCTTACGCATTTCTATAATATTTTTCTATAAAGAAATACATCCATTATGCGCAATTTTTTTTTGTTAATTTAATATCATTATTTTTACGTTAAAAAAAAATTTTTTTTTCGACTAATCATAATTTTAAAATTATTCATAATTAAATATATAAAAACGTAATTATTAATCTAAAACAATAATTGCAAACTATATGTATTATATTTATATATACAGAGTCCAACCAACGAATTTTAATTGCTGAATTGTATAAAATTTTTTTTTTTTGTTTTTATATACAATTCAATATTACTTTAATATTGTAATTCAAATTATGAATCGTATATTTCCTTAATTTTATAAAAGAAAATACAGTATGGCTTAATCCTGAGTATCGAATCTCTAAATGATAGTGATAATTATCGGAAATCATTTAATATTATTATTGCAAACACAAACTATTTTCTATAAATAATTCGTATCCATAATAAAGTTTTTGAAATTTTTACGATAAATGTCACTGTCACTGAGAGATTCAGTACTCAGAATAAGCTACAGTATTAAAAAGTGACTCCAAAATATTACAGTTATACTAACAGTTGTTGTTAAGTAATTCAGCAATTGTATTTATTTCAATTACCATAATATATTTAATTTTTTATTTATGCAAATTAATTTTAACGCGAAACCAATAATTTGAAGACAAAATCTAAAATATTTGCTTATAAATTCAATTCTAGAAGAGTTTAAAAGGTTACCTTTACCGTTTATAATAAAAAAAAAAAACAAACAATAAAAAAAAATTTATTGCAAAAAGAAACAAAACAAAACAAACAAATTAATTAATTACTTGTTTTTTTTTTTTAATTCTATAATGAATGAAATAATAATAAATGGAAATTTTCTTTTTACAGCACTCCGTCGTTTCTGTAAGTTGATTATGATAAGATTTTCAAAAAATAATCATTTTAAAAAAAATTTTTTTTTGTTTTTTTTTCCATATATACTTAATTTTAAATATTTTTCCTTCATTTAATAAAAAAAAAAAAATGAATAAATTTTTTTTTATTCTTTCTTACTTAATTTAATTGTTTGTTTTCAAATTCGGAATCATTGTTATATATATGTACATATATTAAGAGAAATTTGATTGAATAACTTTTGTAATACGTGTGCGACTTAAAAATTGTAGTATTTAGAACTATAATAATAAACAATTCAGTTTACCGTTTATAATTGCTGAATTGTATATTAAAATCAAATTATTCCAATTCCAAAGCCAGGAATTTAAGGTTGATCTTTTTCCAGAAGTTTGAAGTATGTTAATTTAAAAAAAAAATACTAAAAAATTTAATTTACATGTTTACTTAAAAATTGATTATTCCTAACTTTGAAATTGTAGCAATTCTAAATAATATAAAATGAATTGTATGTATAATATACGGTTTCGCTGTAATTTTAAAAATTCAAAACAAACTTAACAATATATTATATAACAATGATATTATGTTTTAAGCAAATTAATTTATTTTTTTTTTTATCTTTAAATAGCTATTTAAATTTACTCACTTAAATGTTTTATTTATATATTTTTATATACCATCCTTATCATGATTAAAAGTTTCATAGAATTGAACAAAGAAGAGTTCATATTAAAAATCTATAATTGATTTTTAATTGTTCGAAAGTGTTGCGGGATAACTATACTGCAATATTCATATAGTTCAAAATTATATTGTGCATAAAATAAAATTTTATTTTGCCTTAAAACGCAATATGAAAGTTGTTGCTATAATTATGCTGATTGAATTTAAAATTATAGTGTAATACGATGTTTATTACTGCAATTTAGTTTATGACTTGTTGTTTGTAGTTTCCAAGTAAAATTAATACAATTCAGCTCACAACTATTATATGAATAATAATTTAATTCAAAATTGCAGTAATATGTTCTTATATACATAATTCATTATTTGATATTATTATGTTACTGCATACAAAATAAATGTGCAATTGAAAATGTCACGACATATGTTTTGCTTTTCATTTTACAGAGTAATACATAATATACTTTTGAAATTAAAATAATGAAATTTTTAGAAAACTTAACATGATAAGGTTGGTTGCGCTTCATATACGAAATCCTATTATGTAATTATATCGTAACTTAATTGATTGAATAAAAATGATCATTTTGATCAGCTTTATACAATTTCTGACAATTATATATATATATTTTTTATACAGTATTGTTGACTTTTAAACATGATTGTGTTTATTCTAATAGTTTTATACTTTCTGATCAAGTTGTACAATTTTTAAAAATAACATAGATTCTACTGATTATTATTTATATACGGACAGTCGCATATGCACCTTTTGACAGTAGCTCTTTTGCACTTCCTAACAATTGTATTTGTCTGTCATTTAATCAGTAATCAGTCAATTAAGTACGTTATTTTTAATAGGAACGATCGTGTAATTTTTTTTTTTGATTTTCTTTTCCGTTTCTCTATTTTTCTATTTTTCTCTCTCTTCTTATCTCTTTCTCTCTCTATGTCTGTCTCTATTAAGATTTTGCACTTAATTTTTTCTCTTTTTTTTTTGTTTTGATTGATTTTCAAAATGCATTGATATTAAAAATGTGTAAGAATTCAAAAAGTTAAAGTTGCTTTATAACCAAAGTTGAATTCAATATCAATTTTGATGCATTTAAGAAATCATTCAATTTACCACACACATATATATATATTTATATATATATATACATACATATATGTATATATATATTATATATATATATATATATAATTTTTTAATATATTCAATTTTTTTTATAATTTTATTTATCACATTATGTTTGAAGTAAATTCGTTTGTTTGTGGATCTTTAAGAATTGTTTAGATGTAAAGAAAAAGTTTATTATTATAAGTGTATGAAATATTTTTATGTATATCTAAAGCTTTTTATATTTAAAGTAGTATATTTTAAATATAATTTTTTTTTTTTATTTATTTGTTTGATGTGTGTCAGTTTTCGTGACTTCAAAATTGCTGCAATACAGTATAAAAGTATTATTCAGCAATCAGAACTCATAAACTCAATTTTATATATATTTTTTATAACTGCAATTTTGAAGTCAGGGTTTATTTAAAACATATAAATAGAATACAGTTTTATTTTCTTTGTTTTTTTTTTTTAGATTGAAAAAATAAAAACCTGCATAGTTTGAATTTTTTTTTTTTCTTTTCAAAAGAAATAATCAAAATTTTATCACGAAACTTAAAAATTTCAGTAACATACCCTCCTTTAAAATATAATTCACCTTATGAATTGTAGTTGCTGAATTTAGTTGCAATATCTGAAATTTTAAAGCTACGGGTATTATTTTCAATATAACGTATAATGTCGAGATTATGATAAATTAAGTTATATAAAAAAAGCTCAGATGATGTTTAGTAAATAACTTAAATTTGCTTACATAATATTATATTACAAAAAATCGCGATTTCAAAAATTTGCAGAATATCGTAAAGATCATAAGTTGAATTGAGTATAAGTATTGCTTATTATTGCGTTTTCGGGGTATTCGTACAGGTGCATTTGTACAAGAACCTTTGGCACTCCTCCTCAACATCTGCTCTGATTCTAATTCTTATACATTTATAATGGACATATTATAGTTCCTTTTGATTGCTTTTCCCCGATAAATATACAAACACGTTCCCTAATAATAATTTTTATATAAATTTCGTATTTTTGTATATTTATTTAACACATATTTCGCTGTACCTGCTATCAATATTAATAATTACAAAAAAAAAAGATGAAAAGAACTTTTTCGAAGAGGGTTAATTTTTTTTACTTTGACTTTAAATATAATATAAATGTGTTCTATATATGATTTGAGTTTATTGCATTTAAAGTTTTACTCTGTTTTCAAAATAGCTTGGGCATATGCTTTAAATTTTTTTTTTTTTAATAATCAACATAAGCACATTGTAAGCACACATACACGCACATACATATCGCTTTGAATAATTTTTTCCCTCTATTTATCTCTTTTATTTTTTCTGCTTTTTTTAACTTTTCTGTATATCTCCCCTGATTTCAATATTGCAGTATTAATATCGTATTCAGCTAATAACTTGTAATAGCTGAATTGTGTATTAATATCGTATATTTACCGCAGTTTTGAAGTTATGGATTTATATTAGAAAAATATCTTGTTCTAATTTATATAATTTTGTTTTGTTATTTTTTTTTTTTTAATTATTTCCTCAATCATTTTTATTCTATATATACAACATATCGATAATTAAAATTAAAAAAAAAATAAAATAGAAAATATAAAATCCTATTCTGAATATTAATAAGCGACATCTTTGGTAATTTACGTACTTTTAATTTCAAACTTTCAATATACATTATTGGATTCAATTCTATATTTATTTGGTGTCAAATTGAATTTATATTAAAAAGAAATATACAAAATCAAATCCATGTTTTGTAATTAACACATATAGGTTTAAAATCAAAACTCCTTTTAAAATATATAAGAAGTATATACAGAATTATGAAATAAAATTAATATAGTAATATTTTATAATAATATTCTTTGACTTTAAAATTGCAGTATTATATACCGTATTATTACAAAATTCAGCTTATAAATTGTAATTGCTGAATAGTTTTGCATAATATCATTGTATTTTTGAAGTCACAGATTATTAAATTTTAATTAAAAGATGTATAGTTATTAAGTTGAATATACGTTATATGTAAAAATATTATATTTTTAAGGAAAAAAATATTATGAAATAAAAATCTATATTTCTACTTTTTATTATCCCTGATATTAAAATTATATAATTCATATTTACATTATGAATTATATAATTCATATGAGTTTTTATAACTAAAATTGTGTAGTTATTCAGTATTATTTTGCAATTCAGTTGTCATGGATATATTAGACATATTACTCAATATATACCAACATATAATGTGTTCATTAAATGATTTACGAATTTATTTAATATTTTATTTGTTTCGTATTCATATAATTTATATATATATATATATATATATATATATACATATATATAAATATAAGACACAAATATATGACATATAAAATACTCAATTAATTTAAAAATATCCCAAACATATTATGTACTATTATAATTTAAAAAATTAAAATTAATTTGTGACCGATAAACGACAATATATACATACGTGGAATATATATTCAGCTTATGAATTTTAATTGCTGAATTGTATATTAGATGATTTTCGACTTATATTTAACATAATTTGCATTCATTTATGAAATTTATAGGTATATTTATAATAATGAAATATTATATGTATATGTATAACATTGTTGTTCATCATAGTGCTTATCAAATTTAGTTGTTTCCAAAAAAAATAATTCAGTAGTCTATCTATAATGAAAAATTCATTCAAAAATATTTTTAATTCATATTATAGTTCCAAAATACACATATATACACAAACTTCTATCTGAAAATTGCAATAATATAGTGGATATAATTGCGATTTTCACACCCGCCCAGACCATTATGTTTCGACATCAAAATCTGCAATTTTCATTCATAATTTGTTTTTTTTTTGTACATATAAAAATATTTTTATATGTACCTTTTATATTAGAAATTTCGTGGTGGAGAGAATAAAATATAGTTTAACTGGTGTGCTATATATCAAATAATTAACCTTTTCTTCTTAAATTTTTGACTTCAATAAATGTAAACTTTGAATTTTTAACATAAAATTCTTTTCCTATATATATATATATATATGTATAAGTAAGTATATTATACATAATTCAACAATTACATTTCATAACCCAATTGCGTATATTAAAGTAATTTCGAGTTTGAGTGTAGTTATGAAAATTTTTTTAAAACAGTGTTTATAATTATTTGTGATTTCACAACTCGCTAAAAAACTATTTGACAAATATTAAATTTATGAAATCCTGAATTGTCTATACTCTTAGAAAGTGTAATTTTATAGTAAGGATATATGCAATATAAAATTTAATTTAAGTGGAAACAAGAATAGCGTATTTTCTTAATTTTCCGATTCGTTCGCTATTTAGGTCCCTCACTTTTTCTTTTTTTTTTCTTCCAAACTTAAATTTACATACATGCACAAATTTCATTTATATATACTCGTATTGAAGATTGTATAACGTGTTTTTGGGGGCAAAATATTATTCTCTATATGATTTTTTACATTTTATTGTTTTGTAAGCAATAATTTAATTTTTATTTCAAATTTTGTACATTTTTTTTTATTTCTATTAATTTTAAATAATTGTACAATTCTTTAGAATTTTTGTAGATAGAAATTCATATAGATAAAATTGTAAAGTATTTCAAAATTTTATGTAGAAATCTTTGTAAATTTCTTTCAAAAATTTTAAATTTTTCTAGTCTTAATATTCAAATATTTTTATTCTTTTTACAACAAAACAGTATTTGAAGTAATTTTCCTTTATTTATTTTTAAATGTTACAAATAATTTTAACCCAATTAAAACAAAAAAAAAAAAAACATTGATTTAAAAATTTTGTATAATTTTATTTTAAAAATCATTCAATATGACTTCAAAAATTCAGTAATACTCTATGTATCGACAAACTTTAGTAATCACAACTTGTGTAAACTAAAATATTAATATATAATTCAGAAGTATTAAATATAATTGTTTAATTGCTTATTAATATCGTCTTTTGCTGAAATTTTGAAGTCAAGGATGACGTGTTATTTTTAGGCAAAAAACAAAAGCCCATTAATCTTTGCAAAATTCTCTTTGATTGCAAATATAAGTAGCTGTATAAATATAGTTGTATAATAACATTTACATGTATATATATATAAATATATATATTGAAGATTGTATATATAAATATATGACATGTAAATAATGTGCATGAATGCATATTTGATTTTTAAAGTAACAAATACTAGTATAAAAAACAAAGAAAAAGAACCAGACAAACTAAAATATATAGTTTTAAATTCTTTAATATTATCAATGATGAAATGGAGGGGATTGTTTTCCTATATACACACATATATATATATTGCTTAATATTTGTTATATATATACATAAAAGGTTGGGCAATGATTTTTTTAAACCTTCATCATCTCTCAACTAACCATCACCACATAATTCATTTGAATTTTCTTCACCTTATACTCGTATTCTTGTAAAACTGCAAGCTTTTCAAAACAACTATAAACCCAAAAAGATGAGGGTATATACCATACCATTGAAAAATATGATTATTCTGATTTAATTCAAGCAATAAATCCTTAAATTCGACTATTCATGTTAAATCCTCTTAAAATTTTTTCAATTTTTTATTTTTTACCCCTAAATGTATGCAATAAACCCTGTTCAATATTACAATTCGGTTATGTTCACAAAATTTTTGATAAGAAATATTTCCAATATACTTTTAGACATTTTATTCAAATTCACTCAACAGGAAGCTAACTTAATAGACTCTCTTAAAATCACGTAATATTCCACATCAAAATGTCTAATTTTATTCAATTTCGCTCTCTTAAAATCACAAAATTAAGATTTCACAGAAACAAATTACAAAGAAAACCATCTAGCAGAAGAATTTTTACATTTTTAAACAAATAATGTAAATTTTTAAGCTTATGACATTTTAGCTGCAGGCAATTTTTTTTTTTACAAAAATATTAAATGTGAACGCGTTTTTTTTCAGAATGTACCTTGGAAATATATGTCAATTACGATATATAGTTGTTATTGTTTTCAGTTTTTCTATTCGTTTAAATATTTGTCAATTGAAAAGCATTTTCAATTATTTCTAAAGTAAGCACGTAAAAATATTTTATAAGCTCATTTAATTCCATATAATTTGAATTTATCCGAGCATCGCTTAATTTCACAACTCGCTTAAAAACCAAAATTCTTGAGAATTTTTCTATTATTGATATTAAGCGTGTTCGACTGATAACTTTTTTCTAATTTCAAAACGGATACAAATTTGTTTAAAGGAAAAATGTTACACTTTACAAACCATTGGTTTAACCCAACTTTATTAAATATAGAAAAGAAATATAAAGTACTTAACTTTCAAGCTCTTCAAATTTATTATTTTATACAAACTCAATCGAATTACGATATTCAGTATACAGTGAAGGAATATTTATATTGAACACGGTGTATATCTAGAAACACACACTACAAAAAATAACTAAAGAACAAAAAAAAATATAGAAACTAAATCTTTGTTTTTTTTTCTTTTTTCCTTTTTTGTATATTGTTGCCAGAATGCGTTTAAAAATTTTTAGTAATTTTAGAATTTTAGAAAAAAACCAATTTTATTTTGTAAAAATATTTTTTTTTATTATTTTTTTTTTTTGATATTTTTGTTATTTTTAAAATCATTTTTTTTTATGTATACATTTATATAGTAGTCAACAATAATTATTGAAATTTTATATTATTAAAAGCATATTATATATATATATATACAAATTTTATATACATAATTTTTATTATTGTTTTTCTTTTTTCTTATATTTTTTTTCTCGAATTAATTAAATTTTTTTTGCGTTTCATTTAAAAAATATGAAATAAAACACAAATATTTCACAATTTTCACTTCACTATTTATATTTTTTAATAATAACACGCAAAACGCACTTTTACACAAATCACGCACACGCTCACGCACACTTGTATTTCACACACACACACACACACATATATATATATATATATATTTAAAAAATAATTAAATATTAAATTTACTATATACCTTTTTGTGTGTGTGTGGTTTCTTCTCTACATTTTTTTAATTTTTTTTTTCTTCTGTTTTCTATTTTGGTTGCTATTTTAAAATTTTTCTTCTTCTTTGCAAAAAAAAATGTATGAAATATTCGAAAAAAAAAAAACAAAACTTTTTTTTTTACCATATTCAATTACGATCCTTTTCTCTTTCTCTCTCTCTCCTTTCTCGCAAAAAATCCTGATCCAAACCATATTGTTTTTGTTTTCCCATTTTTTTTTTTTGTTTTTTATTCATTTTCAATATCAAAATACAAAAAATCTTATATAACAAATAATTATGTAAAATGTCCTTTATTCAAATCCTTTCATTTACATCCCTTTATTTAAATCCATTAATCTTCTATAAAAAAAAAACGGATTTTCCGTCGTTCGTTCACATTTGAAAATTTTTGACATTTTACATTTTGTCACTCACATACATTTTTTTATTATTTTCACTCAAATTTCTTATAATTTTCATATATTAATATTCGGTCTTGGACTGCCTTCCCCATATCCTTTTAAAAATCTGGCCTAACAACCACCACCTTTCTAAACAACTTTTTATTATTTCCCTTTTTTATGTTCTATTTTTACTAAATAATTATTCATGACACACACGCACACACACACATAAAATTATATTTTCACATAAAAAAACACACCCATAATAAAATTTTTTCATTACTATTACAAAAAAAAAAAAAAACAAAACAAATTCTATTAAAAATTCGTTCAAAATAACAAAATAACACTAACAATAAAAAAAAATACCAGGAAAATGATTTTAAGATCACAAGGATCATTAGCAAAATTAGATGGTGATTCAGCTGATAATGATACCCAATTATCAAAATTAGATGTTGTATTAACTTTTCAATTGGAAGTAATTGTTATGGAAGTAAAAGGTTTAAAATCATTAGCACCAAATCGTATCGTTTATTGTACGATGGAAGTTGAAAATGGTGAAAAATTACAAACAGATCAAGCTGAAGCATCAAAACCAATGTAAGTACACAAAATAAAAAAATTTATATTAATAGTTTTTAAGAAATCCTTATATCAATTTATTCTTATTATATAAAAATATAAAAAATAATAAAAAACGAGAAAAAAATAGAGTTGACCATGTCAACTCTGTGATACCTTTACGAATTTCTAATCCTGTGTGCGAGTAAATATGTCATAGGTGACTATGTAACAGACTGTGGCTTTAAGTTGCCGGATTACCATATTAATTAATGTAAAATTTCAGTTTTAGTGATTCCAATATTTTCTAAGATATGGCCAAGCTACTATTGAATTTATATGACAGCTACCCGAACCAGTACCTCGATAATATTCAATTTAAATAGGGTTCTGTCATTTACTAAAACAAATCTTTTGTGAGAATTGGGTTTAACTCAATTAATTTTTGAGTTATCGTTGGGACGGACGAACGAACAGACGGAAAGACAAAGCTAAATCGACTCAGAATTCGACGTTGATAAAAAATACATACTTGAGTCGATATTTCAGACCATTATTTCTTAGCATCACAAACGGTAAGGAAAATTTAGTATACCCTTCGAAAATACGTCCGTATGGGTATAAATAACTTTGAATGTACTTAACTTAACTCGCTTATAGCTATGTGCTTAACTATAGCATTAAATTTACCCTAATAACAAAGAAAAAAAGGTTTTTTAATTTAAGACGTTTTGTCTTTTAACGTGGAAATATGAAATTAATAATAAAATATCAATAAAAATATTTATACACATATACACACATACATATATACATATATATATATATATATGTAAATAAATATATTCAAAGGTGGGATACACAAGGCGATTTTACAACAACACATCCGTTACCAGTTGTTAAAGTTAAATTATATACAGAAAATCCTGGAATGTTAGCTTTAGAAGATAAGGAATTAGGAAAAGTAATATTAAGACCAACACCACTTTCTTCGAAGGTAATATCTACTATGAAATAAATATTTAAATTAATTGGAGGATCTCAGAAATTATTCAGTTTAAAGTATAGTAAAATTTTAATTTTGAGATATAAATAAATTCTTGCAAAATCAATAACGATATAAACAGAAATATACAAAATTAGAAGTTTATATATTCACCGAGTAGCGTAACAATAAAACATCACTCTGTATAAAATAATTTATTTTTGATTTAGGAAATTATTAACACAGACTTGAATTCTGAATCCTCCATTTTTTTTTTTTTTTTGAAATATTATTATTCGATTAAGAACTTAAAAATACTCTTCTACATTATTTTATCTTTGACTTTAAATATTCTAATAATACTTTGTATAAATAAACAATTCAGCTTATGCATCATATTGCTGAATTGTGTATTAAATATCGAATTATTGGAATTTAAGCTAAAAAAAAACAAACAAAGTGATAATTATTTTTTTTATAGTCACCAGAATGGCATCGAATGACTGTACCAAAAAATCTTCCAGATCAAGATTTACGAATAAAAATAGCATGTAGAATGGATAAACCATTAAATATGAAACATTGTGGGTATGTACTTAGTAAAATTTTTTTGTTACAAATTGATTATATTATATCTTCTATATATATGTAAAACATGTGATATTTGTATTCAGTATACATTATAAGCACAATACAAAGTGTCTGATTTCAAGATTCGATGGAATTTCTTTTTATCTCTAACTTTTAATTTTAAAAAAGTGTAAGAAAAAATCCGTAACTTCAAATATACAGAAATATTGTAATTATATACAATTCAGCAATTACAATTCGTAAGCTGAATTGCGTATTAATACCATATTGCTGTTAGAAATATCAAAATTAAGAATTTAACAGAAAACAGAAAAATGTTAGTGTGTTTACTAAACAAATTATCTGCATTCAATTTTAAGTAAATTAAATTAAAACCATTAAGCCCTATTTACTCGTCAAATACTACTCATCTAGCGAAAATCAAAGCCAAGGGGTAAACAACTTGAGAAAAATAAAGTGAAAAATATCTAATTTATTGTTCGGATTAATTTGATCATTATCCTGTTACAAAATTTAAAAAAATTCCATCGAGTATGTCGGACACGTCTTGAATGTATGTTCGAAGTTTCAATTTTTCGGCACATTATTAAGTTCTACACAATTTTGTGTATGCGTGAAAAACCAACATTTTTGTTTTTTTTTTTTATTTTCTAAAATTCTTTTATTTTTATTCAGTCATTTATTTGCAATCGGAAAATCAGTATGGAAGAAATGGAAAAAACGTTATTTTGTATTAGTTCAAGTTTCACAATATACTTTTGCAATGTGTAGTTATAAAGAAAAAAAGTCTGAACCATCAGAAATGATGCAATTAGATGGATATACAGTTGATTATATCGAAGCGGCTAGTGGTAAGTTTTTTGTATTTTTTTTTTCTAACAAAACAAAACAAAAGTATTTAAATTTTTTTTATAAATTAATTCCAACTTAGGTACACAAAAAATTTTTTTCTAAACCTAATAACCTACAACATAATTTTTCGAAAAAAAAAAGAAAACTTAAAAAAAATAAAATCTGCAAAAAAATAAAGTTTCTTTTAAATTTTGAAAATATTGCATATTTAAGGGCGCTAATTATAATTTCGTCTTTGAAAATGAACGGATTCATTATTAAAAAACTGATAAAAATAACAAGTAAATATTAATAACGAGAAAATAGAGTTGGACCTGTCAACAGCTCTGTAATACCCGCACGAATGTTTCTTAAGAATTATATAAAAGAAAGTTCTAAAAAATTCACATGTTCTCCCGTTAACATTTTGATAAAATTTCGGCCCTACTGCTAAACTTGTTCTATAATGATTTCTATAAGTTTTTTAAGCGTAGAGTATGCAACCTTTTAAATCTTTAAGGTATAAGTAAATTATTTTTAAAATTGTTTAGCAGCTATCATATAAATACTTTTAGCAACACTGTAATCAAAATTTATTTATTCGAATAGTGTCTCAGAATTACAATATTATATGAAATTTATTTATAAAAATTTTAAATATACTGTAGATTGTAAATATATTAAACAACTTTTAAAACATTTTTAAATTAGAAAATATTAAATTTTTTTTCTTCCATATTACTATTTCGTTTTTGTTTTATTTACAGCGAACTTAATGTTTGGAATTGATTTAGAAGGTGGTCGATATTTTTTTAATGCAGTTAGAGAAGGCGATAGCATATTATTTGCGTGTGATGATGAAAATGAATGTAGCTTATGGGTGATGGCTATGTATCGTGCTACTGGTCAATCACATAAACCTACACCGCCTGTAACACAAGATAAAAATTCGACAATGTCAAAAATTCAAGGAGGTATACTTACAAAATTTCCATACAAGCATTCTACATAAAATTAAAATCAAATTGAAGAAAATAACAACAAAATAAAAATAATATTATCGCGTATATATACATATACATGTGTATATAATTTAACGTATCGAAAATGTACCCATCAAATGTACATTAATTTTTATGCTTTTTAAAATTAAAATTTCTCTATTCTTTAAAACGTTTAAAATATTTTTGTATATAAATAAATACCAACTGTATAATATGATGGTAATTCAAATTTTAAAATTGTACATACATATGCGACCGCAATTCAATTAAAAAATGAAGTTTTAATTGTAAACAGAGTGATTATATTTTAAAAAACAATATTGTGTACGCGTATCTTATAATCGTTTAATTTAGAGTATCAAGAATGAATGGAATTTTTGGTTTAAAACCACGTTATGTATAAGGTACCAAAATCTTAATGGTTTCCAAAATATATAGCACAATATTTGAGTTCCTGAAAAGCAAAATAGTTCAATCCACAAATTATTCATTTCAATATAATTTCAATATATGTACTAATAGTTCCAAAAATATTGTAGCAAAACTTCTGTAGCATAAAATATATTATAAGATTTTTGAAATTTTCACTGGAGCCATATTTTTTACCTTTGTATAAGAACATACAGTAAGTTATAAGTTATGCAAAAGTTCAGCCAATATTTTGTAAAATTTTTCTAAAATTTCTATATGCTATTTTGGAGACTATTAAGTTTTTATATTTTTCACTTTCAAATAAAAATTTTACCCATTTTTCTAAGCCATAAAACGATGATATATATATATCAATAAAGGACAAATATCACCCTGTATACAAAAATTTTCTTTTATAAAACATTTAAACCCAAACATAAATTTTTTTTTTATAAAAAAAAACACAAAAAATAACAACAAAAAGAAACTACAATAGTACTCGTGACGAAAAAACCAAACAGAAAAATTTTTCATATTAATTTTCCCTGCAATTCAACTTTTATTTTGTACTCGTATCTTACGATAATGCAAACCTGAGTGTGCATATTTTGTGCGGCTGTATACTTTTTATAAAAAGTAAAACATCCAATGCCACAAATTAAATTTAATATTTGACTATTATAACACAACTTTTAAATTACAATATATAAAACATGGTTTGGAATTCTGATGGGGAGGGGCAGCGAGTTGTAACAGTAGCTCGTATTCGTAACATTACTCATAAGAAATGCTTCTGTCTTTTTAAAAATAAAATCAATTTTTTTTATTTTAATAAATAAAAAATTTATTTTTCTTTTTAAAAATACAATAAAAATACAACCAAAAAAAAATAATTGACACCGCAAACAAAAACACAAAATTTCTATATTAACAAAAAAAAACAAAAACAATGGGAAATTGTGAGTAAGAATTTAAATTTTGAACAAAACAAAGCAAAAATTTTTCAAATATTTTTTCATAAAACATTATTAAAAATTTTGCTATAGTTGATTATGTTCATATGTATAATCCATTATATACCAAGTAATGCTCTCATACAATTTAAATATTTATTTCGAAAATTGATACACGATTAAAACCAATCCGTTTGCAAAACATATATAAATATACAACATTTTGACATTGACAATTTGAATCTATACTGTATTAATGCTCATACATACTTTTACTTTTAATGTTTATGTTTAACAGTAGTAGTAGTAGTAAGAGAAAAAGTGCGCTGCCTCATGCGAACACACATTATATTAGGCCACTAATGAGTCTATCAGCAATTCCCTACAACACATTTAATCTTTTAGAACAAACTGAAAACTGATCTTTTAGAGTTTAAGCAGGTGTTTTACGGACGCCGTCTCGGCATTCTACCGAAAACCCTCGTGTTAGAATTCTCCTCCAGATATTTTCTACTGTTCCATATCACAAACCGAAAAAAAACCTTAAAATTTCGAAAATATAGCATAAACCAAGGCGAAATTTTAATTTCTTAATTTAGAGCTAGCTCTGTCAACAGCTCATAAGTCCTTTTTATAAGTTATAGGAAGGATAACTAAGAAAAGTTCTTATGTTCTCCAGTTAACACTTTTGGTAGAATTTCGACCCTCTATTACATAATGATTACTATGGTGATATGTATAGTGTTTTAAACACTCTACAAGGTTTTAAAATTTTTAAAATATATGTTAATTATTTTTAGAATTACAGCTCTATCGTATAAATACTTTTAAAAATTCTAATCAAATTTATTTTTTTCTGGCTTTTTCAAAATTCTCAAACTGGAACTGTCCCAAATATTTCTCCCCGTTTCACATTACGTTTCCCGCCGTCCGCTATTTATTTAGGCCGAAGGTTTTTCATTTTTATAATTGTTATAAAATTACCTATTAATAGAGATCTCTGTTACTACAACTTTTAAGATGCCATAACTGTATACAACTTAACTATAATTTATCCGACATTATTAACAAAAAGAGAAAATTTTAAAATTAATTAGATTCAAATGAATATAGGTATTTATTCATTGCTAGTATACTAACCCATGTTTTCATTCATTTTATAATATATTTGAAATTTCAATTTTTACCCTTTGCGAATCCATAAATCATGTAACATATGCATTATCTTCTTATAAAAGCATATAACTTACAATTTCAGGATTCTCATGTTTTACAAATTGACTTTATAGAGAATGTAATAATTTAGATACAAATTATATTATAAATACACATACATACACATATATGCTATATAATACATATAACATATACAAAAAAAAGTACATTTTTATGAAATTCCATCAATTATGCTATAATATATAGGAGAAAGAAATAAAATTAATATTAATTATTTTTGCAAAAACTTTTGAATTTCAAATCTCTCAATATACTACAAGAACTTATACAAAACAGTATAGCACTTGTATTATAGAGAGAGAGAGAGATAGAGAAATAAAGAGATAATATTTAATGTAAATAAAGGATCTTTCTTGGATATGATCTCAAAGAATTAACATAAACACAAAAAGGGAATAAAAAAAGAAAAAAAAAAAGAAAAAAAAAAGCAAACAAGCGAAAAAAAATAGATTTCTAGAGAGAGAGAGAGAGAGAACATTCTTTCTCCCTAGCTCTATGTTTGTTTACAACTGCTCTTTCTATTTTTTTCTTGTCTTCCTTTTTTGTGTTTTTGTTTATTTAATTTAAATGTTATTTTAATTTAGACGCTGATAAAGCACGAAAACATGGTATGGAAGATTTTATAAGTGCCGATCCCTGTACTTTTGATCATGCTTCTCTTTTTAAGACTTTACAAAATTTAACACTCGAATATCGTCTAAATGATCCTTATGCATCACTGGTAATTTTGATAATTTTGGAAAAAAACAAAAAAAAAATTTTTTTTAATGCTACCATATGGTCTCTATACACTAACAAACTCACAAATCTGCAAAATTTAGTTAAATGCTTCAATCCAAAATCGAAAATATTATGACAATATACTTATGTGTTATTGTTTGCATAAGTTCTTCATTCCTCAATAGGTTTCGTTTATTTAAATCCTAAACATCTAAATTATTGTCTTTTGAAAACTTCGTCAAAGTATACTTTAAATTTAAGCAGTAGGTCAAAAATTGTTTTCGTGATACTTGATATGAATAACTATACAAATTTGCAGATTCGTAGGTTTGGAATTGTGTCGACCGATATAAGATATATAATAATAATCTGATACTTTTTTTTTTGCATAAATTTACATATACGTATATATAACAAACTGATTCCAAAATCGGAACTATACTGTATTGTTATGTAGAATTCAGTAATTAAAATTCATAAGCTGAATTACGTATTAATACTGTTATATTACTGTCCATTTTGAAATCGGTAATATATTACATATAAAATATAAAATGTATAATATTGTTAAAATGTTAATATATAATAAATATATACAAATAGGGTTGGTTTAGTCCCGGTCAAGTTTTTGTTTTGGATGAATATTGTGCACGTTATGGTGTTAGAGGTTGTTATAGACATTTATGTTATTTATCAGATCTATTAGATCGGGCTGAAAAAAATCTAATGATAGATCCAACTTTAATACATTATTCGTTTGCGTTTTGTGCAAGCCATGTACATGGGAATAGGTAAATAATTATAAGAATATACCAGAAACTTTCCTCATTTCTTTTTTTTTTTTTGTTTTTTAAATTAAGGCCTGATGGTGTTGGTAGTATAACACATGAAGAAAAAGAAAAATTTCAAGAAATTAAAGAACGTCTTCGTGTTTTATTGGAATATCAAATAACAAATTTTCGTTTCTGTTTTCCATTTGGTAGACCAGAAGGTGCTTTAAAAGCAACATTATCATTATTAGAACGTGTATTAATGAAAGATATAGTAACACCTGTACCACCTGAAGAAGTTAGATCAATGATTAAAAAAAGTTTAGAAACAGCAGCTTTAGTAAATTATACACGATTATCATCTGAAGCAAAAATTGAAGGTATATTTATATAAAAATTTTGAAAAAATTTGTACTCGTATAACTTGTATAATTAATCCTGGCTTCCAATACGTATATAGTAACACGAATATACAAAATGTAATTAAATTAAAATTTAAACTAAAACTCTTTAATATTATATTACTAAACATGACTTTCAAAAATTTCAAATTCTTATTAAATTATTACTTTTATAAGCAATTTTATACATATTTACCTAATACAATAAATTTAATTAATGATACAAGCCGCGACTTCAAAATTCCAGTAATACCTAAATTATATAATACACAATTCAGCAATTATAACTTAGATTAGCTGAATTGTGTTCTAATATTATTATACCGTATAATAACTATTGTTTTTAAAATGGGGAAAATTTTTTTTAATAAAATCCAGAATATATTAGCCGCAAAACTACTTATTCCAACTAAATTGAAAATAAAGAAAATTAAACTGTGCGCTTTCTTTAATACTGTGTTACGTCCGAAAAACAATAGTATAAATATTACTGCTAAATTCAGCAATTATAGGCTGTAATTGCTGAATCATTTAGAAATCCAATTTTCTGTTTATCATAGGGTGTGTTATAATTATTCAATTTTTTTTTTGTAATAATTATTTAATGTTAGGCATCATATATGTAAACATACAATCATTTATATATGCACTTGTTTACAATTCTAATTTTCCTTCTTTTCTATTTCCTCAAAATTTTACCATACAACAGAGGATCTTCGAGGTGAAATAATTGTTCCACCAGCAAAAAAATTAGAAGATTTAATACATTTAGCTGAATTATGTGTTGATTTATTACAACAAAATGAAGAACATTATGCTGAGGTAAGCAAATTAATTTATATATTTTAAATATATAAATTAAATTAATTAAAATATCTTTATTTATTTTATATTATATACATATATACATAGTTTACATTTATATAAAAAGGAAAAAAAATGTACCATATCTATATTTATAATATTTTATTTATATAACAAAAACTATAACATTATCTATTTAATAATATAACCAAAAAAAAAAAAAATAAAAAAAGAAACATTGTATATACATATTATATTAACCACCTATAATGTATAAGTATATAAAAAATTACCCCGTTTATATATGGCCCATTTTACGTCCATATAAACATTACTTGACCTTAAGTCAGTGCTTTACTCAAATCCAATGAAAAAATTTTGTTTACTTGACTTGAAATAATTTAATAATGTTTTGAAATTTATAACAGCTAAACGTTATTTTTTAGCTTAAACGCAGCTCTTGAATTTCGTGATGATTTCAAATCAAGTACACTGAAACTGCCATATATAAATGGAGTAATTAATCTAATGTTAGTCTAGTAATTTTGACAATTTTCACATTATGAGCATTTTAAGAATATAGAAAAATATTTATATTAATTAATAAATATTTTCTTTTGATATTGGAACTAAATTCATATTGTATATATTTACTACATACATAATTCAATATAATTTGAATTAATATATATAGAGCATAAAGTGAATCGTATATATTAAAATAACGAAATATTATATTGAAAATTTCGATGTCATCACAGTGTTGTATAACAAATTAAATCACTGTCAAAAATGTAAAAATTTTGATTTTGAAACGAAAAAATAATTCTGTAACTTGTAAAATATTATTGGGATATTAACATATTTTTAGTGCCAAATTTGACATAATGGATTTAGTTTTTCATTGAGTATTTTTAAAAATTCATGCGCACTTTTGGCATAATAGACTTTTAAAAAAGCATTGATAATTTTTGAAAAAAAAAAGCGCCCTGAATTTTTCGTTTGAAAAAAAAAACGTTCTGGATTTTGATAGAGACAAAATTTAAGCTGTTACATTTGTAAAACTAAAAAGGATAGTAGCTATTGAATGCCGTTGTGACTCAAAATTGCTACTCCTACTGCTATATTTAGCACAATATAATCGACAAAATATTCTAACACTGTCATCAAAATAACATTATAGTATGCGATATTAAAAATCGCTATTAAATACACAGTTAAGCAATTATATATTAATTCATAAGCTCTGAATTATGTATTATAGACCGTATTGCAGCAGTAATATTTTCGAAGTCAGGGTTAAGTTATTAAAATGAATTATCGACAATGTTCATAATGTGTTATTGTTTTTAGCACTTTTCCAAAAAAAATTTTGAAAACAAAGTGTTTATTAGTTTTACTCTTTCTGTCTGTCCGTCCATGCACACGTTGGTAAAACTTTTGCAATCCTTTTTGAATAGAAATCTGAAATTTTATATGTATGTTCATCTCTATTAAGATCTAAAAACTTATTTTCGTGAAGAAAATTTTTACCTATCTCCTCGCCTCTAAAAGTTATACCCCCCCCCCCCCCAAAAATAGTATTTTTCAACTATTTATTACAGTGAAATTATAAGCATTTTTTGCAAACGCATAATTTACCGTTATATAAAATCCGTTTTTTCCAAATTTTTCATATCGTTTTGACTTCTATACCGAAAGGTTTTTGTCTAAGACAAAAGAGTTTGAGATTTTTAACAGCTTTTAGACAATAATAAATAGTTCAGTTCGTTAGAGGAAAATTTTTTTTTCACTTCCACCCCCTCTTAAGTTATAGCTTCTCGGAATTTGTAAAATTTTTAATTTTCTATAAACAAAGAAAACTAACGGTAAATTCCATGCCATTAAAAAATATAATTATATTTAAATTAAAGACAGCATAAACCGTTCATCCCGAATGTATGCAATCCTTAAAATAGTTTCGTATATAAATGAAAGTAATTTTAATTATGTAGTAGGTATACAAAGATAGACGGAAAAGTGCTACATTACAAACAATTGCTTTCACCCAACTTTATTTCTTCTAGAATAAAAATACAATTAATTCCCTTCCTTTATTTTTATATGGTAAATGAAAAACAATTAAGACTTAAATTAAAAAATTAAAACAAATTTTCATCTTTTATAATTTTCATATTTAATTTTTTTTGAAAAAAAAAAAAGTAAATAATATTTTAATAAATTTGACATTTTTGTTTTTTTTTTTTTTAATTTTTTTTTTCAAATAATATGTGGTGTCTCGTTTTCGATCTTTTTCTCGAAATTTAAGAATTTGAAAAATTTTGTTTTCTTTTTTTTTAACGATTTGGTTGTTTTTTTTTCGTAATTTCAATTTTATATTATACAAAAAATTCTCTCCAAATCTATCAAAATTATCTTTCCGATCTGTCAAAATTTTTTTTTATTTTATAATAACAAAATTTCTGTCTTTTAAAGTATTTATGCGAAATATAAACTCTTATACAATAATAACAAATTTATTAAAATATTTTTATTATCATCTTATTTTCATTAAATAATTTTCTAAGTTAAACTTAATATAAAAAATTTCATGGATACTCGTATAATTGTGGAATTAAAAAAAAATAATTAACTTTTTAGTCTTAAATTTATATATTTTTTTTTAATCTTGTCTTTTATTTCATTTCTCAATTAAATTTCTTGCAAAATATCAGAATGTGTTAAAATTTTTTTTTTAATTTTTGTACTATTGTAATGCTGTTAAATTTTCATGTTATTGGTAATGCTATCCCATAACATGAAAATTGAAAATTGAAAAAAAAAATTTTATTTAGTTTCACTCTGTCTGTTTATCTGTCCATCTGTCCGCTCCGTCGACCATCTATTTATACAAAACTTCTATACCATTATACTCGTATACAAATAAAACTTATGAGAAATCTACTTTCCTAGAAAGAAATTTTTTAACTTAACTCACTCCGCCCGGTTTTTATAGAAGTTATGATCCTTCACAATGCTGTGTAAGAGAAACAAAAGCATAGTCAATTTTGTACGTATGAGCAAAAGAGTTTAGCTAATTTGCTGTGAAACAACTTTATCATATGAACAAAAAATAACAATGAAAAGTAACTGTAAAATTAGTTATAATGCAAAATCTTTTTCATTTTTTTTTTTGAATATTTATTTTCCGTTATTTCTTATGGCTATATTATTATATATGCGTAAATTATCTGAGTTATATGCCTATATACGTGGACATTAAGTTGAATAAAAGTCCAAAATTTTAACAACTTATATTGAAACTGTAAATAATTGGTTTACTATGTTAGACAAAACAAAATTATATATTTCAAATATATACAATCAAATATACACATTACTCGACTTTCAAGTGTCTCGAAATTAAAGATATAAAACAAAGTCTCTCAAAGTGTGTAGTTTTTAAAAATTAACAAAATTTCAATATTCATTCAAAATTTTATGTATGTTTATATTTCCACTAAAATACAAAAAAAAAATAATAATATTTAACTTACCGAATCAGAAGTTCAATTCGATGACTAATTGTTCTTTTTTTAAACACCTAAATCATCTCATATTTAACTTGTATCAAATGTTAAATATCCATTCGTAACGACTTCTTTATTTTTTATGTCGACCCCTGAAAGTATGCAATTTTTTTTTTTTTTTTTAAATAATACATGCACAATATAATTTTAATGTTGTATTGATAAAATAATTTGAAAATGCGATTAAAATATAAATTTTAGATTTTCCAAAAAAAAAAAAAACATATTCTGATATTTTATTCGAAACAAAAAATATAATTAAGATAATATATTCAATGTATAAAAAAATTCGATGAGATCTATATGAAAATTGCACATAGTATACAGAAAGGTTTTTATAAATACCTAACAAAACAAAAAAAATAATGACTAGCAAGTAATTTTATTTTAATTTTTTAAATTAGAATTTTTACTTGTTAGTCATATTTTTTCCAACAAAACAAAAAATAGAATAATAATTGAGATTTGAACAGTGCAAGTTACTAAATTATTTGTTATACAATATTCATTTTAACAAAAATATACTTAATATAATGTCGGAACAAATTTTAAATATAGGCAAAATAATTCAAAACCAATTATTTTCACATAAATTTTCTTATAAATATATATAATATTTCTATTAATTTTCTATTACTATTACAAGTATAACATTAATTTAAAATAACAGTGATTTTTTAATATTTTATATGAATACATATATTATTTATAAGGTATTAGTATATAGAGAGAAATTTCTAACATAACAGAACTTTTTCTATATATATATTTCGCAAAATATAGAAAACTTAAATATAGTAGCTTCAATTCAAAATTACAGTAAAACAATATTTAATACATAATTCAGCTTATAAATTAAAATTGCTGAATTATGTATTTAATATCCCCTGTATTTTGGATGTCACGATTTTTTATTTGTGTTTTCACACGAGGTACTTATACAAACGATGATCTAATAAATACTTTTTTTTTGTTTATTCAGCAAATTCAAGTTACATTTTGCTGTATAGAGTTAAATTGAAGTGTTAGATCCGCATTTTAATATAGTGGATGCTCCCCTCCCCCCCCAGCCTGACTTTTTTGATAAATTAACAAAAAATAATTATATTTAATTTGGAAACTGTATATATATAATTTAAAACCAAGATGTTAGTGTATATATATATATGTATGTATATACGTGTATTATTTTTTTTTCATATATATGTACATAAAAGAAATTTTTTTTTTCAAATTTTCAATGTTCTTTAAATGTCTCTGTAAATTTTTTCTTTTCTTTGTTTATTTTTTATTCTTTTATTGTTTTATGATTTTCTATATATAAAAATGAGTCGGTGTTTTTTTTTAAATAATGCGATGATTCGATGTTGTCAAAGGAAAATATTTAAATATGAAAAAATAAAAAAAAAAATCAATGAATTAAAAATATATATTTGTTACTTTATCCCT